TGGGATTGTCTAGAGCTGTGCAGATTGTGATTTCAATGGGAATTCTTGAAGCCGTCCCAGTTTTTTTAAACAGGTGTGGGTGAGGGTGGAGAGAGAGAGGGGAAGCTGGTGAATTATGGTCATGGTGAGCCACTCTGGTCATGTGTTGCTTATCTCCTTTAGAAACTTTCTGTTGGTTACAGTTTGGTTTTTGTTCCGTTTTGTTTGCTGGAAAGTGGCCACTGCTCTTCTTCGAGTTTCTGTCCATTAGCTTCACTGAGTTCAGAAACAGCTCAGAAAAGTGATGTGGAGCCACACGGAGGGTCCCCTATACTTGGCTGTGACCTCCAACATACTCTTTGAAGCATATAGTAAATGATTCGAGTGGTTCCCTTGGGATGTTCCATTAAACCGTATCATAAAGACATCTCGTTGTGAAAGATGGGAATTGATCTGACCACTCCCCCTCCACAGCGTGTGGTTGTCCTGCCAAAGGGCAGTTCATCATGAGCGTTTATATAAACGGCTCCTGTTGCTGCCATTTGATCCGTGCACAGCGGGGTTGAGACCTGCATTTCAAAGGGATTATAGTCTTTTTGAAGAAACCAGCTGCTGGAACAGTATCGGTGAGGTTACAGGTAGCTTTCTGCTAGACTCAGCACAGCCTCAAATAGGTTACATCCCTTGTACGGTTAGAAATATTCTTTGGGGCGAGGGGAAAGAGGTAAACATTGAGCAATTATCTCTTTGAAAGCCAACAAAGGCATCTTGGGTGGGAGTATTTGGGAGGGTTTTTGGATTCAAACGGAGATTGGGGGAACCCACTATTAGCTATAGCTGTCATTGATATCATTGTTTTATCCTTTGCCTCTCCCTCTAGCATAAGGATAGTAATTACTCAGCTAGTGGTTGAGGCATATTTTCTCCCATTAATCGGGAGCGTGTCCTTGTGATTTCTAGTACATTTTGTACCCCCACCCCCCAGTTGACTATGCAAATTCCCTGCGTATCGGCCTCCCCAACTCCTCCCCTGCATAGGCTGCAGATCATTCAGAACTCTGCAGCCCATGTCCTCTCCCACACCAGGATCCGTGTCCTATTACCCCCATTCTTGCCTGATTCCACTGGCTTCCCATCATACAGAGGATACAGGTCAAGATCCTGGTCCTCACCTTCAAACTTCAAAGCCCTCCATGGCCTCACTCCCCCTACCTCTGCGACCTCCTAACCCCCTACCAACCTGCCTGCTCCCCCCCGTTCAGCGGGCTCCAGCCTACTTCACGTCCCCCATCTCGCCCGACCACCATTGGTGGGCATCCTTCAGCCACTGTGCCCCCACCCTCTGGAACTTCATCCCGCAGTCCCTCCACCTCACCCCCTCACTTGCCTCCTTCAAGACCCATCTTAAGACCCTCTTCGACTGCTTTCGATCACCCTCCTTCCTCCACTGTCCTCCACCTCCCCAATCCCAACCCCTAGCTCAGGTCCGAAACACTGACTGTCCTGCACCTTGGGACGTCCACCCGACGTGAAAGGCGCTTCACAAATGTAATTTTGTTGTTGTAACCTACCTTGGAATTTTAGAAATAAAAAGCAAATGGCAAATAGTAAGGAATTAGCTTCAATTGAATAGCACCGTTTGCTCTCAAAGATTAAATAGCCACCTGTATGTGCAGTAATTTCATCTATAAAATAGTCACTACACTATATGGAACATTCTGTGAGGGAAGGAAATGCCATCTAAAAATGACCGTGCCAAAACTCTCATATGATTGATTAAAGGGACAAAACGTTGGGTCAACATGAACTAGTTAAGCTTTTTTAAAATAGTTTTAAGCAAACATTTTACTGGAAATGGTCAAACATTTCGTTATCTAACTTATAATATTGGACTGCTGGTGGGGACCAGTCCATGCATCAGGGTTGAAGTTTGTGGTCCAGGTTGATCACTAACCTTTTTAACTTAATACTGTGCAGAGGGTTCAGCAGCTGCTGCTGAAGCTCTGCACTTCCAACTGGTGGGTTTGGTTTGTGCGCTATGCCGAGCAGGAGAATGTAGCAGGAGAATGGTGAAAGTGCTATGATTGAGGTTCTCATGGCATTCCTGGTGCCCGCTGAACACATTGAGGGCTCAAACTTGCACTTTGATGTCTCATGACCAAGTACAATGCAGCCCTTTTTTTGCATGTGGCTTGTAGAATGCATTTGTTTGTAATGCTGTTCCATTTTGGATCTCATTCACTGCACACAGCCAGCCAACTCGCTTCCACACTAAAATGGCTAACGTCAGGTTGCTGCTAATTTGCTCCTCGCTTTGCACATGTGCTGAAAACAGGAAATGATGATGTTGGCACTGACTTGATGACCCAGAAGTCTTTCATTTTTGTTTTAGCGTAGAAAGCGGCCAGGTTGTAAGGAGCAAACTGGCTGCTGTAGCAGGGCCAAAACATCGACTCTGCTGTAGTAATTATCCTTCATACGTGGTCTCCTTGGGCTGAGCTGGTTCCAAGAAGACGTGCCTGGAGTGTAATATCAAAATCAAGTTGATCCTTTGTAGAGGTTTTGTAGTCTGGTTCCTCAGCCATTATTGACAGCTTAGCAAGGCTGACGGGACTTAAAGGGTTAAGACCACGCACGAGAACAGGGAGGATTCTTCTCACTCGGCTCCCGTTAATCCTGCAAGACAAAGCCCTAACAAGAGTCAGCTTTCACCTACTACTTTCTGGCACTAGGTAAGCGGGATCGGTTCCTCTGGAAAGAGTGCTCACTCCATTCCAGATTAATGCGGAAAAATGTGGATTCCCAAGTCTTCCCATTCATAATCATAACAATTTTGAAACGTGATGCATCAAGGTTTTGTGGGGTTTATGTTTAGTGGGTTTCACAGCGGGAATGTTGCTATGCACAGTTTAGCTGTTTGCCGACAAAATAGTCATAACACTTTACAGTAAATCCTGTGAAACACTTTGTGACATTCTCCTGCCGTGAAAGTTACTTTATCAAATGTCAGGATTATTATTTATTAAAATAGATATTAGTTACAGACTGAAATCAAATTCCATCCAATTCGTATAATTGAGAAGTTACTGTCATAGTTTGATCACTTCTCCTAAGTAAGTTTTTACATTAACTAAATTGAGGTTTCTGTGATTTCATACACACCATTTATGATAGGTTAGTGAGAGGTTGACCTTTGTGTAAGTATTACAGAACTGGTGAATGCAATTGAGTTGATGTCAGATTGATGTATCTGAGGTCCATGGTTTTGTGGCAGCTTTGATTGTCAGCATGAGAGCAGACAGAATTTCTGCTCTGACGGGTGGCTCTTTCAGTTATGGTGACTGCATTAATGGAAATGTACTGGAAACAAATGAGTTAATTACCAGGAAATCCTTAAATGGTCTTTATAAATGTACCTGAATTCTCTGGTTTAAGCTTCTCTGTTTCACAAATAGTAAATTACTGCCCTAGCTGACATGTTTATTCTGTCAAGTTCCCAGTTCTTCACAGGCATCGGGAATTTGACAAAATAAACATTGTAAATATTAGATGCCTTGCCCATGCCACTGTGTAAACCAGCAGCTTTGTAATGTTTAAATAGAAAAACGTGGCTTAGCTGGTATCTTGGTTGTATCTGCCAACTGAATGTTTATACAGTAATAATACTTAGATTTGATAACAGCACCATATGTCATCGGAATCTTTCAAGGCACTTCACAGGATTTACTGTAAAGTGTAGTGATTTGTGTAGTATCTGTAAGTGAACATGGCAGGCAATTTATTCACTTGTCCCCCAAACAACTATGAAGAGAATGCCCAATTTTATCTGTAGCCAACACACTGGGAGAAACTTCCTTCTCTTTTCAAGTGGATGTTTAATGTCCAGCTAAGCAAGCAGATGGGTCCTCAGTTGAACATTGTATCTAAAGCATAGCACCTCTGATGTTGCAGAACATCCACCATATATTGGGGTAACAGCCTAGACCGAGAGCTCAAAAGTCCCAACGAAGGAGTAATAATAATCTTTGCATTTGATATAATGCCTTTTCATAGCTTCTCATCTGCGACTCCAACCTCCTTTTAACCTCGCCAGCCTATTCCTGAGACTTACATCCACACATTCATCACCCACTGCCTCGATATTTTTCCAAAGCACTCCTTGCCAGTTTCCCTAACTCCACCATTCACAAAATGCAATTAATTCTTAATTCCGCCGCCCGTAACATCAATGGTACTAAGCTCTGCACTCCTATCAACCCAGTCTTTGCCAGGCTTCACTGGCTTCCTATTACAGAACAGATCGATTTCAAGATCCTCACCCTCGCCTATAAAGGGCCTCATACACGAGCACCTCCCTACCTCTCTGACTTGCTTACACCCCACTCCTAAGTACAAGTTGTCGTCATTGTAGGCAGCATATTGCAATTCTGGTGCATCGGGCACAGGGAATGTAAGAGTGTTTCATATAATAATAATCCTTGCATTTGATAAAGTGCCTTATCGCGTCTTCGAGACGTCTTCAAGCCCTCATAGTATATACTATAAAGTGAATTGACTGTATATTTTGTGGGCAAAATGTGGGAGGAGGGGATTGGGGGAAAGAGAATATCCACAGCAACAATGTGTTATACCCGGAGTACATACACTAGATTTTGAATGCACAGACTTGACATGATCTGAGTTCCGGCTGTTCAGGCTGTGACTCCAGACCAAGTAGAATTAGTAATAAATCCTTGCATTTGATATAGTACCTTATCATGTCTTAGAGATATCTCAAAACTCTTCGTAGAATATTTTGTATATTTTAATACTGTGAATTGACTGTATATTTTGTGGGTGAAAAATTGTATGGTTACCAAGGTGTAGTATGAGGGTGGTGGGTTGCAGAAAGGTGACTTGGAATAAGGGATAATGCTCAAACCTAATATATGCAGGTAGAGGGTTTGTTTGGCTCCTGATGGGTGATGAAACTGTTGTGATGCTTGGTGAGGTCTGTAAATGGTTCTTTCATTGTTCCACAGGCTCTCAGACACGAGCACAGCTCTTGGATGGATCATTCCTTGTGAGTCTTTAGATTGATTTCTGACCGAGGTAAGATTACATTTACGATGGTCACGTAAAACTGATGTACTGTTTGTCACTATCCTCTGCCCTTCCAGTTCCCCACCAAACACTGCCCATTGTATGTCTGTCATGGATGTGGTGGAGGTCTGTCGTCTTCAGGAATATATTGTCCATCTGGATCCAACATGGAGCCCAAGGAGCTAAATTTACCCCACGGGGCTGACTGAATGGCAAAACACTGTTTGCTTTGGGGTTGATGATACAAACAGGTGTCCCTCCTGCTCCCAGTACAGCTGTTGTGCCTTTTGATTCTGGGTTCTCAGTAATCCGGAGATTAACGTGCCCGTTATAGTGTCCCATGCTTGATGTTGGGCCAGTTGGGCACAGAACAGCTGCGGGCAATTAGGCTGCTTAGTGAGGTAGGAAAGCTGAGACCACCTCTCCCCAATCATGGCGAAATGAGGCTGGACACCTCATCTAGTTATAGATAGCATCTTTATAACCTGTTTATGGGGAAACTTTAGAATTATTGATGACTGAGTGTATAACAAGGCAGCAATTTAATCACTACCATCCTTCTCCGGCTCAGCTTTGATTACTGTGCTGCGGGTTGATGTGTTTCACCGTCGGCGACTGAATATGTATGAGTGAGACTGGACGCTAGTGTGCTACTGGGAGTGTTCGGGTTCAATTCCCATTATGGCAATTATGTGATTAATTTTTTTAAAATGGTAAAGTCTTAAGTTGACACTATAATGTAGTACTGAGGGTGTGCTGCATTGTTGCAGGTACCACACTTTAAATGAGATGTAAAACCTGCCTGGTCAGGTGAACGTTGAAGATTCACAGTATAATAATCTTTGCATTTGATATAGCACCTTATCACGTCGTTGAGATGTCTCAAAGCGCTTGACAGGGTATACTATCAAGTGGATTGATTGTGTATTTTGTAAATACATATTTACACATAATATATTTATATCTTGTGAAGAGCTGTGGGACATCATCTTGATGTGAAGGTGCTTTGCCGAATGTAATGATTATTATTATTGCTTAAAACGTTAGTAAGATAGTCTTAAAGGTGTTGGATTATGTTTTTAAAAAAGCAACTGGTTGGGTAATTGAAAGGAAATCTGCCATTCTTGCCCTACATGTTGAGCAAGCAATACAGTGTAAATGTTAATCAATTGCTGTTCGCCTGTTACTGGTATTATTGGGACTGGTGGGATGGATTTTGAGACTGCACTACAGAAATCAAAAGTCTTTAACTCAATATGTGTGGGGGAGGGTGGCTTGTCTTCATGCCACGGGGAAGATGCTTTGGGGCCCACACATCTGGAAGTGATCTCTCTGATCGAGCCACGGCTGCCTCACATGCAACTGGGCTCTTATGATTTATCACCAAGTTGCAGCAGTCTCCTGCTGACGTGATATTCAGTGATTGGGGTCCACGTATTTAGCTGGAGACGTTGCAACGTGGGGTCACTTCTTGTTTGTGAACTTGAAAGGGGAGCAGGAAGTCTTCATTTGAGCTCTTGATGATTATTAGATTGTGGTTGCATACTTTTGAAGGCTTTCCTTAGTATTATCTCTCTCTTTCCTAGAGCTTGCACTCACTTTTTCCCTTTCTCTCTCTCCCCTCCCCAATCACGTACTGGCATAACTTACCCAGTCTGGCGGGCACTGGTGCAGAGTCTTCTCATTCTTGGTGGTGGTCGGCTCTCCCGTTTTGCCCCTCACCTCTCCTCTCCCCCCCCCCCCCCCCCCCCTCCCAGTCAGTGTGTAGATATGTAGCTTTCTACTATAATTTACTTTTAGATTAATTGAAAGACGTAAATTTAGATTGTGTATGGATTGTTCATGTTTTGTGTGAGATGAGTGTAATGAGGTGCACCAGGGGTTAATACCATCTCTCTGCTGTCCCGCAGGTGGGGAAGAAGCTGCTTTATTGCCATTCAGTAACTTCAGAGATGTCGAAGGCTGCTGCTTCAAAGTCGCGATCCCAATCATCCCATTCGCGGTCTCGCTCCCGCTCCTTTTCCAGGTCTCGTTCCCGATCCAGTTCCCGCTCGCACTCCAGGAAACGAAAATACAGGTAAGAAACCCATACTTTGATGTAATGCAGCCTATTGCCATGGATTATCACGGTAACATTCTCTCTGCCCATGGGTCCCTTCCTGTATATCCCGTCCAGCACTTCCTGTATCCAATCCTGCCCAGACCATGTTAGTAAAATAGTGGTTCATGGTCCAAGGTGACATGTGGAATATCTGAATCAAATCAGCCCTCTGTGAAGAAATCTGTGATTAGATTGGCCCATCTCTCGGGTGCAGTAGCTTCTATTTTATGGTTAATTTAAAGGATTTATTTAAGTTGACATGGTGCAAGGTGACATGTTTAGCAACAGAATATCTGAATCAAGCCAGTGGTCTGTGATTGATTCGGTGGTCCGATCCTGAGCCAGGCAGGTCCATAGTATTCCAGAGCACTGCTGGTGATAGTTCATCCAGCCTGGCTGATCAGCGGGACTTGGAAGGGCAGGGAATCCTCCCACGATACTCCTGTTAACTCTGCAAGCCAAAGCCTTAAAGGGTGCGGTGGCCCTAGCTTGGTGAGCAGCAGGAAAGCTTGCCAGATAGCGGTTTTAGCTTGGTTAAGACTCCAGCAGTATCCCAACGCATACTCTGGGGTCCCCAAGCCTGGGCTCTTGCCAACCTGTGCCTAATACTTCCTGGAATTAGTTAAGCAGAATGTGTCCTTCCAGAGAGAGTGCAACAATCTATCTATGGAATTTCCATGTGTAGGTGGGATACATGGAATTCACAGTTTGATTTGGATCCTTTCCAGCACACTGATGGGTTTCTGCATGTGTCAGACACCCGGTTTACTTTATATAAAAAAAGGTGGATAAGATTAAATGTTCTGCAGAGAACTGGAAGAGATTCACAGACAGGAAATTACCCTGATTCCTACTAGGAGAGTTGGAATGATATATTTGGAGCCAGAGCCACATCAGGGATAAATAAAGGAAATATTAGAATCATGAAACTCAATTGTTGAGACTTAATTCGGAGCACGTAATTCAGGGGGAACCGGATGATGAACCTGAGAGTGGGGTCGGGAGGGTTCATAAGTTGCATATTTTGACATGAAAAGGAACATCTGGGATTTTGACCCATGTCACTTGCACCCTCGGCCCCTGTTTTGGACCTGAGTTCAGAACAGTCAGGTTTGGGCACCAGATTATCTGTGAAAGTATAGCGAATATAACAAGCCAGGTGCCTGATCCAGTCAAACATAATGGGGCATCATCTGGCCCTACAGAAAAGTGCGGAGATATTTGCCCCAAACTCTGGGGGATTTGATTGAATTTTGCAGAGAAATTTGATGAATATTGCAGAGGGTTGATTGGTGATTGAGAGACGCATTTTGTGAAACAACCCAGATTAAAACTAGGCATATATTTCCTGAACATGCAGTTATAATAATAATCCTTGCATTTGATATAGCACCTTATCACGTCTTCGAGACGTCTCAGAGCACTTCACATGATATATTGTAAAGTGAATTGACTGTATATTTTGTGGGCAAAACGCGGTAGCCAATTGCGCACAGCAGTGTCCCACAAACAGTCGTGGTTTGAAGTTTAAAATACTAAAAATGTTCATTTGAATAGCACAGCACTTACCAAGAATTTGTCGCGGGAGCTCAGTTTGGGCCGGGATCCCAACATTCCCCGCGCATGCACGACCAGAGCCAATCCCCCCACATAGTAGCATCGAGCAACCAGCCCTAACCCTAGCACACTATGTGTACAGGTTTTTTGCAGAGGAGGGCGTTTGTAGCGGATTCCGCGGGAAAAGTGTGACTGCGCTTTTCTATTGGCCCAGGGCATCACCACAACAGCATGCATGAATCTTTTGAGGTGGGGCTGTGCACTGTGAGAGCGAGCTCCAGCCTCCCAAGCACTGGAGACCTGACTGCAAAGAGCAGCTCTTTGCAAGTGGTGTGTCCCTGGCACGGGTAACGGGGTCCTGGAATCAGGCTGAGCGTTTAGAGCAATTTAGAGACATGGCCCAGTTCCTACTCTCCTGTCTTCAGTTGGCGAATGTAGTGCCAGAAAAAAAACTTCACAAACCTCATTGCCTCGCTGGCTTCTGTCCGGAGACGGCTGTCTTTCCTGTGCGAGAGTGAGCAGCAGCTGTTAGTTGAGTCTGTGGGTTTAACAGTCCCACTCCTGCACAAAGCTTTCGCTTCTCGCTGAGCTTTGCTTTCCTACCTATGGAAATAGTCGCCGGGTAAGTTGTGTGCTTTTCAAACTCTGCAACGCTCCCCCTTCCCCCCCAAAAGATCCTTTTGTCTCTATTAACTTTTTGGCTGTGTGTTTGTTTGCTCAATGATCGGTGCCCTGGGCTTGAAGCATCAACTCAGCACTGGGCCGTAGAATCGTCTTTTAAAATAGAACGTGTCATGTTAAAATACCAGTAACTTGATGCGATTGACACTAATGGTCTAATATGAAATCCTATCCAATTGTTCCCTGCAGCTTTGTTGAATACCTTCCAATCTGAATGTTTTTAATACTAAACGCAGCCTGTGAGGGAACTTAATGATTACAGAAAGTAGTTGCAAATTGCAGTCTCCCGCCCGAGCACCTACCCCTTAAACTCAGGCTCATTGTCAGCTGTGTGACGCACTTTGAGAAGTTCTCCCAACCCAAAATATATAAATGTAAATTGTCGCAATCATTTTAAGTTTGTAATTTGAGACCATGTGTATTCCTTAGGGTTGGACAACAAAGCAGGTTGTGAGTGGGGAATTCTTAACGTTTTGTACGCTGAGTTCTCTCTGTATTGCTACATGGAACTTATTTAAAGAGAGGTGCAGGCTTCAGATGTGATCTATCAAACCTGTGGTGTAATCTATGCTAATCTGAATAGTTATTTTGGCACCAGAAATCCACGATGTTTGCTTCACGTTCTGCCTGCCACCTTAGCACCAATTAATCCTTATATTTAGTGTAGCGCCTTTCATGTCAGGACAGCATCCCAAAGTGTAGTGATTGTGTTTTGTGGGCAAACACGGTAACTACTTGTGTTTGCCCATGCAAGCCATGAAGTAAGTGACCATTTTTATTTGGGGGCTTGTTGGCCCGGACACAGGGCAAAACTTCTCTTTTCGAATAGCACCACGTGATCTTTAATGTCCACCTAAACAGGTAGATGGGCGCTCGGTTTAATGCAGAGGATGTAGATTTCCCCCACTCGGCTCTGCTGGTACCCTGTTAGAATTGCACCCACTGATGCAACAGTCATGCGTGTATAACAGTTGCAGCTCTACTGACATTTCTGCAGTGAGACTGAGTGCAGTCAGACAGTCTTCCTCATGATACAAGTTACAAGCAGTTGTATGTCTTGTGGAGTCTGATTGGCTGCCATTCCCCTTTTTATGAATGAAATCTGTGATTAGATTGGCCCATCTCGGGTGCAGTAGCTTCTATTTTATGATTAATTTAAAGGATTTATTTAAGCTGGTCACACTCTTGAGCTTAGACACAGCTCGGCAGTGCCTCAAGTGTTTCACTGACCCCATGACATGTCTGCATGTAAGATTCCAACCACTCAGCAGATGAGGCTAGTTATTAATTATGTTTTAAGAGTTTTCTGTATAATTTCACACGCAGGGCACTTTAGTGTTGGCCAAAGTGCATTATTGAAACATAATTTCACTCTTTAAACTCCGCAAGAGGATGTGCCCTGAGATTCTTCATGCTCCCCCTCAAGGACTAGGCTGGGACTGTCACTTACCTCATGGCAGCGGTGGCTCCTTGGCCTTGTACGGGTTGATTAGGAACATAGGAAAACAGGAGGAGGGCATTCAGCCATGAAGCCTGTACCATCAGTTTATTTGATCTAGCATATCTTTTAATCCCAATTTCCTGCACATTTGCAGTAGCCTTTTGTACCTTTTCTACACAACTATCTTTTAAACATAGTTTAGACTGATTTGCTAGCACAGTGCTCGGGATGTGGTGCTTTGGATGAGATGTTAAGCCAAGACCCCATCTATCTGTTCAGGTGGACGTTAAACAATTGCCTATATATATGCATATATGTGAAAAGAGAAGGGAGTTTCTCCCAGTGTCCTAACCAACAATACCCCTTAAATTATTTATTATTTCACAGCTGTTTGTGGGCCATTGATGTTTTGAAATTGACTACTGCTTTTACCTGCAAATATACAAGGAATAAATATCCTTGAGAGTAAAATCCTGTGTTTTGAGATGTTTTGACAATATAAGGCGCTATATCAAATGCAACTATTATTATTATTATCCCTATTGATTCTGACAGGAGATCTCTGTGTCACCTCATTTTAACTATTGGTTCCAATTTTAAGGTTAGACAACACTAACTTGCATTTATATAGCGCCCTTCACGCAGGGTAGCATCCCAGAGAGCTTGACAGTGGCGGAGCACAATATACCACAGAAGAGTGGAGTACTATCTAACCTGTTAGTTCCTTTCATTATTTTCAATACCTCAATCAGATCACCGTGCAATCTTTTCTATTCTAAGCAATATAACCCAGTCTACCCAGATTCCTCTTGGCTCCTTTCACCCAAATACTACTGAACCTTTGCTGGAGACTCTCCAGGCAGCTACACTCTCATGTGAAGCAGTTCAATAAATATCCTTTAAACATAAAAACAGACACTGGTGAATTTGAGAGAGAGGCCAATGCATCACAGACTTCATTCATAAAGCGGGAACATTAGCCAATTAGCCTCCACAAAGCATATAAGTGCTGCTATCTGGTATTATACTCAGTCTGGAATAGTCAGATAGGAAACCGTGTTACTCTCCACTTACACTGCTCTATCCCAATCCAGCAATGTCCACAATGTAGCTGCAACTCTTATGTCCACAACTGTTGCATCAACTGCAATCTGATGAGTTTAACTTCCGGTGCTTCCGCCTTGGTGGGGGAGGTAAGCAGAGTCTCCCTGGAGCTGAAATATGCTTGGCAACGGATTATAGGAATTGAGTCCACGTGTTCCCTCACCCCGCAAGATAGCAATCTTGCAGTCTTGGTTCTACGGGCAGCTTGCCTTCTGCAGCCTATCGGCCATTCTTCCTTCTGGCAGCCAGCAAAAGTAGAGTGGACTCTGCTTTCTTGCGATTAACTAATTTGACATTGTCTCATGGAAGTTGCTGTTTATTTGCTATTGGATCTTTAGCTTCCACTTGTCATTGATGAGCCATCCAAGCTATTCACTCAACAGCAGTATTGCTGTGGCTTTGCCAGCATTTCCTCAGAGCCAGTTCTAGCTTAGGCAAATTTGCAATACAAAGCAGCCCAGTTAAAATGTGTGCAGAATTAACACAGGGATACTTAAAGTGTAGTATGGATCTGCACAACACCAGAAGCATGATATAACTTGCTTCCATCACTGTTTGGTTTGCTTCCCAAGCTAAAAATGTCTCCCTTCCAGATGGTCAGAAATACAGCTCCCGGCTGACCAAAAGAACAAACACATCTCCCATTTGTTCACACATGGAATAAATGCAGGGTTATAACCATAAATTGAGACATCCATGTTAAAACTAAATGAAACAAAATGTCTAAGACTGACTGTCTAAGAGTAACTGTCTAAGAGTAATGTCTAAGAGTAACTGACATTACTCCAATTAACAAGTTGACATCAGGTGCTCCTGCCAAGTTTTTCTGACGTTCTTTTTGCCAGGCCAGATCCAAGAAGACCCTGTTTACCGCCTCCTTTCTCTACCCTCCTAACTTACAGGAGGATAGTCACGAGATGGTCATTTGACATCTGACAAGTGGAAGGTTTGAGCAGTGGTGGTGGGTCATGAACAGTCTCAAATCTCAAACAAAAGTTTGAACTGAAACTTTTAAGTCATTAAATAAAGCCCTGATTTAGACTATTTTGTTTGTTCCTCAGCCCCCGTTCCCGCTCCAGGTCGTACTCTCCAGCGCATGCCCGTGAGCGGCACTACCCACGGGAGCACCAGCCTCGGGAGTTCCGAGGGCACCGTGGCTATAGGCGGCCGTTTATCCAGCGACGGGGACGGGGCTACTACCCAAGAGGGAACTGGAATAACCGCGGAGGATATGGTAACTATGGCAATTACAACCATTACGGCGGATACAGACCCAACTGGCATAATTATCGGTCGACCTACAGCCCCCGGCGAGGGCGCTCGAGGTCTCGCTCTCCCAAGCGCAGGTCTGGCTCCCCGCGCTCCAGGAGTCGCTCTCGATACTCTGACAAATCGTCGTCCAGTGGATCGAGGAGGTCTTCGTCGTCGAGGTCCCATTCCTCGCCTCGTCGCAGCCGTTCACGATCTTCCAAACAGCGAAGGAGGAAGAGCAAGAAGGAAGCAACTGCTTCTCAGGCTTCACCTCAAGCCGCTGAAGACCAGGAGAAGGTGTCGGGTGAAGCCAAGAATGATGATGGTGTTGTGGCTGTGCCTGGGAGCCTGGCCGCCAAACGCAGCGACTCGTGGAAAGGCCTGATTGCATACGACACCAGCCCAAAACAGCCGAGTGCAGCCCCACGCTCCACAGTCGTGCTGAAGACCAGCCCCGCATTACAGCAGAGTCCTTCAATGTCGGGGGCAGGGTCTCGTGCTGAGCCCCACCAGAGCCCACAAGGCCACAGCCCACCTCCACAAATCACCTTACATCATAGCCCTCCTTCACCTGATCCAAGCCTGAGCCCGCCATTGGCCAGTGCTCAAAAGGAGGAGATGCATCACGGAGGGTTGGGCTTGTTCATGGATCAGCCAGTTCCAACCATTTCTTCATATTTAAAGAGGTATGTACAGCAAAGGTTAGTACTGAATTCTTGGGAATAGTTTTCGACATCAAGGGGGCGCATCAATCAAATTGCTGTAGAATATCCGCAATTCCTGATGTTCAACCAACTCCTGTGGCAGATTGGATTTGTAAATTGGAGAATCTTAAAAAGATCCAACACAGAAATGATGGCCAAATTGGCCCACTGTGCCTTAAATTGCTGTGCAGTATATTTGTACCCAGTTTGTTTACTCAGAGAGTGAAAGGCCAAGGATCCAAGCGCAGCACAGAGCCATGACTGAGAGGTGAGTTTCCCAGAGACAACCCTTCTGCACACGCCTTGAGCACATCAGTAAAGAAGTATTAACAGATGAGGGATAAAAGGTTGAGAGGTGACCTTATAGAGGTCTTTACAATTATGAGGAGTTTTTGAAAGTCAAAAGGGAGAAATTATTTCCACTGGAAATAGGTGAGTCAGTGGCTAGAAGCATTAATTTAAGATATATAGCAAACGGGCAAATGGGGAGGTTAAACAAAACCTTTTCACTCAGATTATCGGGAGCATGGTTAAGGCAGAATCTATATTACCTTTCAAAGGTGAACTAGATAAATATCTAAACAGTCAATTATAGAGGTATTGGGAAAGGGCAGGTAAATAATAATAATAATAATAATAATCATTGCATTTGATATAGATTGGAAAGGGTTGCTCTTTAAAAGCGTCAACCCAGATACGATGGACCAAATGGTCGTTTGTACCTTAATATCTATGGTTCTATGGCTGAGCAACCTAAACACACAATTGTGGGCTGGAGTAGTCACCACTGTTTTGGAATACAATTGATCACAAGTGTCATTGTAGGGTGGTTACTGTGATGTTGATGCCTAGCTGTGAATTCCGCTAATGATGCTTCTCTGCACCTTATGCAATTGCTTCCTAAGAAGGTGGGAAAAGTCAACGAGTGTAAGTAACCAAGGTGTTTGAGTAAGCGTTGGGATAAGTGACCAGACACCATGGTAAATTATAAAATGAATAGAATGCTACACGATACAATAGACACTTTGTTATTTTTTGTGCTAACCAATGTAAATGTCAGAATAGTAATTCGCTAGAGTTTAAGACTGCTGTATTAGGTGTTCAAAGGGTATGATTATTGCTAAGAAACTATTTGAGAGCCCCATTCATAAACTGATAAATCCCCATTCATAAACTGATAAGTCATCAGTCAATCCATATAACTAGTCACTCAATATCCTGGCTATTTGAGTACTTTGTACTTTCTTTGGTCAACTCTGATTGTAATCATTTGAGCTATTTCTCTTGGGGTGATGAGTTATCAGAGTTCCACTGTATGTAAGGTTAGAGTTGAAACTTTCAGGAATGATGCTTTGATTAGCTAATGCACCATCAATGCTTCTCCATGTAGCTTGGTTAAGACATCCTATGATGTTTAGGCACCATTGCAAAAGTTTAACTTCATTAGTATTCATTGGAAGCACTGATTGAGTGGCTGAGACCTGTATGGGGGCCTGATGTTAATGGTCTGTACACTCCACTCAAACAACCTAGCACCAAACACAAAGGTAAATCTTGTATCTTTATTGTAGAAATAGTGCTCATGAAATTCTGAGCAGAACCATTGGATGACATATTGGATTATTTGTGACTAAACACCTGCCTCACTTAAGTGCTAGATATAGTAATAGATGGAAATGAGACAGTTCAGTGATCTTGTAGTGTTTCTTTCCGATTCCCCAATTGTGTAATTTGTTGTATTCGTTTGTGTGTGTGTTTGTTTTTGTGCTTATTTTTAAATGCAGGTTTACAGAGGAGCAGAAAGCTCAAATCTTAATGCAGAATAGGGACAATGACAAAGAGAAGGAAGCAAGAGGAGCAGATTTAGAGAGGGCTAAAATGGCCAGTGCTTACAATAGGGTTTCTGCTTACAGCATGGCGAAAATGGAATTCTACGTGAGAAATAACGCAGAGAAAGGCAGCCAGTCCCCAAAGCGGTTCAAGAGCGCATCCACGGAAGAGTTTGAGAAACTCTCAAAAGCAGAAGCACAACACAAGTTTGGGTTTGAGAAAGAGGAGCTGGAGGAACAGGACAAGAATTACTCAGCCAAGAGCCAGAGGGGTTATGAGTACGATGAGGAGCCCAAATTCCGGACCAAAGTGTCCCTTTCTGCCATTAAAACACAGGAGAGATATGAGGAAGAGGAGGAGGAAGATGAGAATGGCAGACTGTGCAAACGAGATGAATTGAGTTATTTTACAAAGCACATCACTGTGTCCAACGACAAGTACAGGGCTGTGAAAGAGGAGGAGGAGGAGGAAATAATTCCTGAGAGATTTAAAAAGGAGGAGCGCTTTCTGATAAAGAAAGGTGATGTGAGCAGATACCGGGAGTTGTCACCTGAAAACCTTGTGAAAGCGTCCAAGTATAAAGAGGGCCGAGTGGAAAGCCCCCCGCAGCGCAAGGGCTCAGACATCAAAGAGCGGGAAGAGAGCCCGCCAGTGCTCACACCCGTGGTCCCCATTTACCGTCCACCTGAGGTGACATTGAAAATGGACCCTGTGCCGTTCAGCACCGGCATTCTTGGGTATGTATTAGTTTGAGCATTTTGGTTTTTCTTTTGGAGGGTGGAAGAGACTCGTAAGATAACTGTTCAGTATTTCAATTCAAGGCTGCTGGTCTTGTCCTATTCCTCATCCATATGCTGCACTTTGGTGTCATCAGTATCCTCCAGTTGCTATTTGTTGGCTAATGAGATCGACTATAACTGTGCCACAAGCCTCAATTCTAGAACAGTTGCTCTTCTGCCCCTTTGACTGCCTGGCATCAAGTCCCGTTTGTAAAGCCATGTTGTTTGATTCTCACCAGCACTTTTGTGCCTAATACTTCCCAGAATTAGGTAAGCAGTGTGCATCCCACCAGGAAGGGAATGTGCAATCCATCCCAGGCATGGAATTTCCATGCACAGGTAGCATGCATTTATGGAACTCTGTCTGGATACTCTTTAAGTGCAACGATGGGTTTCCATGTCAGACACCCAGTTAACTGCAATACCATTGTTCCGGTTGCTCTGGATATTTGACCTTGATGATCTGGTTGATGCTGAGCCGAGTTTCTGAACTCCACATGCAGTCCATTGGCAAGACTGTCTTCTTTCCAGCCCAGTTACGCTCGTATTTCGTTTCTACTGCTGCTAAAACTCTTATCCATGTTTTCAGATTTTTCTGTTGCTCCTCTCGTCACTTCAACTGCTCCTTACTTCAGAATCTTCACTTGATTCAGAATTCTACAACTTGTGTTCTCTCACACACCCAAAGCTCCAACCAATAACTTGCAACACTTCTCACTGACCGATGCCTATTCTTGATAATGTCGCAGAAAGTTCATACCAAAGTTCTCTTTAGATTCAGTGACCATTTACAAATCGTCTGCCAAATTTTAAGAAGAAACTGGGATAGTCACTTATCAAAAAGGTTGAGAAACAATTTACTCAGATGATTGAGGATTTTCGTCCTAGTTTTCAAATCCCTCCACAGTTATGCCATCCTGACATGTGTGATCTCTGGCTACACTCTGCTTTCTGACTTTAATCTATTGCTTACACCAACCACTTTTCCTTTGCTCCATCATCATTTTGTAACTCTGTTACAAAACGTCTTAGCTTTATTATCTCACGCCCTGCCATCAAAAACATCCTTAAAATTTATTTCTTGAATCATTTCCATTAAAATTCATCTCTTTGGTCAACATTTTTTAATCTCTCATTTCCCCCCTCGACCTGCATTTGTCAATCATTTTGACCCATTCTTTTATGCGAAAGGTGTTCTATAAATCCAAGCCTTTGTAATGCAATATATAACTGTTTATCTCTCCCCCTCCCTCTCCGCCCTTCCAAGTGTCTAGGATTCCTCAAGCTTAGGCAGTGCTGCAGCCATTTGACATATGATTTGTCTATGATTCTTCTCCTTTATGTGAGGAAAGCCACTTGGGTGACGGATTGCAAGCCAGTTCCAAGACAAGAGGGTAGTTGTGGAATCGTAACCCAGCACCTCATTTTCTTCAGGAAGGGAGAAAATTGGACATATAAATATAAAGCTCAGCAAAGCTATATAGATGACTGTCTATTAATGATACCTATTCCACATTGATGTATGAACCCAGCTCAGCCGTGCACTAGTATTGCTGAAAGATCTGTTCTGTGGACCCTGTGCCCCTTATCTCTCTGTTTATTTCCAGCTCAACCAACTTCCTATCTCATGAGCGGCGGCTCAGTCGGGACCTTGTTCATAAACCCAAAAAGGATCAGGAATTCCGTTCCATTTTTCAACATATTCAGATGGCTCAGTCTCGTCGCAGTCCTTCAGAACTGTTTGCACAGCACATTGTGACACTGGTCCATCACGTCAAAGGTAAGTAGCTAACGCACTCCAAGGTGCCAATGATACATCTGGTGGTATTGAAATAGTTTGAAAAACTAGTGGCTCAAAGTCCATGCCGCAAAGTCATGTAAGGTGTGAGAAAGTGCCAAAATGTCTGACTGGGGCAAGTGAAGAGTCTGATTTTGTGTTGCTCTTACTAAGAGAGAATCCCGGAGCCCATTTCAGTTACCAACATCTACTCAGTGCCTCATCCAGTAAACATAATTTACATTTATTTTACTTTAAAATTAAACTGTCACTTATTCACACGTTTCAGTGGGAAATTGGATCAATATTCAGATGCAGCAGGAAAGTCGAGCTTCAATTTTTGCATCAATTTTTTAGTAGTGCATGTTGTAACAATGATTGGTATTTTACTTAAACAGCACAAGGTGCAACAAGGAAAGAGAGTTAGATGGCGGGAGGAGAGAAATATACGAAGAAAGGGAGACTTGAGACCGACTAGACACTGCAGGAGAGAGAAAAGGGCTGACCTTGTGTGGGGAACCCTATGAGGATGAGAGCATGCTTAACACTGTAGAAGGTGTTGGTTAGCACTGTATGTTGCATTCCATGTATGGATATCAAACTCTATTGTATTAGTCTTGTTTGTTAATTGAATCTGTGTTAGCAGCGGTACCACTGACTGTTTTGTGACTGACTCTGTTGGTGCTGTGTTCAGTGCATTTGTTTGACAAATTTTCTTTTTCTTCAAGCAGATGTTCCCTGCTCATTGTTTGATCTTGTACAAAACAGCATCTCTCTTGTAAATTTCTAAATTGGAGGCTCTTTTTTCTCCTGATTCTAGAGCATTACTTCAAGTCTGCAACTGTCACATTAAACGAGCGCTTCACAATGTACCAGAGGAGAACGGCTCAGCAGGAGCCTCCCAGACAGCAGAGCCCAGAGATCCACAGGTACTTACACTTTATGCCGTTCTGTTAGAGGGAGGGATGAAGGAAGGGATGTCCAATGAGATTCAATGCCAGAGAAAATCAGGCTCTAATCGTGTCCTTGGCTGCTCTTTCAGCTCCATTAGTGACATTTGGAGCATGAACACTGTGGAGTCAGGAGCTCTGCTTCTATTATAAATCCTGCCCATCATGGACCTGCGCTCCTACTTAACTATCATACTGGAGGGGTCCTGTCCTTACAAAGCTCTAGAACTACAAATGTCACCTGGGAGTGCTGTAGTAACAAGGGAGAAATGTCTCATTCCCTGGTTTAACTTTATTTTTGATTAGCACACCTTTTTGTTTTAATGGAATCCCTTTGATTTATCCCAGTGATTTCCCCCCACTAACTCTTTCCACAATTGTTGCTCATTCTGTTTAAGGAGAATTGATATTTCGCCCAGCTCTCTGAAGAAGCACATGCACCTGCACGATGGTATGAAGAGTCCCCAGGACAGCAGTGGCAAGGTGACTGGAGCCATTAGTTATGAATTGCCGCGGTTTCTTTGCCGTGTAATGCATGGTTGACGGCTGTAGAGTGACAGTGCTTTCCTTGTTTGCGATTTCTCCTGTCTTAAGTTTGTGTTTTTCTTTTAAGGCCCCAAAACAATTGTTCTAAAAACCGCTCCAAAGTATTTAATATTGTTATGTTAACCTCACCTCTGAGGTACGACAGATGCTGTCAGATTCTGTTGAGGTGAGATTGAGAAACGGCAAGAAATATTTGGGAAAAAAATACTTTAAAAATGTACAAATAAAAAAAGTCCCGACAGTGGTGGATGCAAAGGAGCTTCTTTTCTGATTGTGCTGTAAGTATTGACTTTTAAAGCAAACTTTACTTTTCTCCAATGTGCTTTAACAAGCCTGTCCAGCACCGCTTGTGTACACATTTACCAGCATTGCATCCATGGATTATAAGGTGGGGGAGGAGAGGTATAAAGATTTATAGATTTAAAGGAGCTTTAATTTGTGTACATGGCACGTATGTTAAATCTGTTTCTGGAGGGGCCATCCATACTATTCACATGCTATGGTAGGCTGGGAGAGTGAGTTATGTGTTGGTGCAGTGATGCTAATGTTCTCGCAGTCAGTCTTTCAGTGTGCTTTTAAATCTGAATAATTTTTATTTGTTCTAGTTCCACTTTGGTCAAAATATATCAAGCGCTTCATTCAAGTGCTTTGAAATCCAATGACTGCTATAAAAGCAAATATGGAAGCTAATCGAGACCACCAACGATCCACACAAAGAAGCAAGACCATTAATTTTTTTGTAGGATTTTTACATGTGGTTAAAAGCAACCTGATTGCTTGAGGCATTGCGTGGCGTTACTGCTGTATTGTGACAAAAGATCAGCAATGCACCTACCTGTATAACTGACAATACTAGCTGACTGATAATCTGCCTTGTGATCTTGTGGATAGTAATTGATTGTTTGATGTTCAACGTCTGTTTGACCTGTGGCAGTGCCACTTGCAATATTGTCCAGTCTCACTCTCATGGCTAAAGCACATCCCTTTGTTTTTACTTTATTGTATAAATTGAACAGGATCCAATGATAGGATGATTATTCAACATGTCAGACAATTAAGTGTTTAAAAGTGTTAAAATTTTAAGTGTTTAAAATAAGACAGTATTTGATAAGGCGAACATTAAAAGGCTGTTTCCACTTATTGGTGAGTGCTAAACAAGGGAGCATAAATGTAAGATAGCCAGTAGCAGATCTAAAAGGCAGTTTAGAGAGACTTCTTTACACAGAAGGTGTTGAGAATCTGGAAATCATTGCCAGTGACTGTAGTTAAGGCAGAAAGTATCAACATATTTAAAAAGAAACTTGATGCATACTTGTGGAGTATAAACACTGGTGAAAACTAGTTGGGCCAAATGGTCCTGTTTCCGTGCTGTGACATTCTAAATCATTCTATTGATCTCACGAGGCAAATGGAATCTAGATGTGTCTGGCAAATGGCTGGCATAGCTTGTGTGTGTGCACGCCTGCTGTCAAGAGTCCTCTCATGTTTGTGACTGTAAATATAACTAATTCTTTAGCTCCTAGAATCACAAAATCATAGAAGTCTTCAACACAGTACTTGGCCGTTTGGTACCACGCTTCCTAACTCCAGTGCCCCAGTGGGGTGTTTTAACAGGTTTTCCCTGTACTCTCTGTCTCTTTCCCATACCTTCTTATAATTTTTAAGCACTTTGAAACGTTTTGATGACATAAGGCGGTATAATCAAATGCAAGGATTATTATTTATCGTTTTCCTTTTGAATTACTTTTCTAAGTCCCTTTTAAAAGCTATTACAGGTTTTGCTGGAAACTGATTTTGGTTGGACAATCAAGCATCTTTGTCAAAAATAAATAATTGTCTAAATCTCTCCCTTTTTCCAAAATCCTCAGAGAAGTTCGGGTCAGTCCTTAGGCCTCACAGGGAAGCCAGTAATTCCCTTCATTCTAAGCACTCATAGCGGTTGTTCTAATGGGCCTGTTCTACGTTAGTATGGTCAAAGGGAAGGGAGCCAATCCTCGACAATGCAGAGTGAGGATGTAGCTCAGTGGGATTGTTTTCTTCAAGCTTAGCAAGTAACTGAAGCCCATTGCATTTCAACACAAAATGAAAAAGCTCTCAAAATTCTTTTTTTTCCCTCCCGTCTCACGAAGGCCCTAACTCGTGTTTGGGAATGGTTCTGAGGGGCAGCTGGTCAGGAGTGGGAACTCCTAAGATTGGCTAATAATTCAGCACAGGCCAGAGATCGAACCAGGGATTTTCTGGATCAGTATTTCAAAGTGGGCAGTGACTTTACCAGAACCCAAGGTTTTGAACTGGTCTGTATGTGCCCTGAAATCTTAGCTTGTCGGACACCTCCTTGTTCTAGATGTGGGCCTCTTCTACTTGTGTTATGTTGGATTCTCTCTCCCCAGAGCAAAGGGGCTTTAGTGACAGATGTGCAGCCGCTTTAGCAGATTGAATGGAGTCTTGGGAAGAGACTATCTGGGTATGGTTCAGGGCATTCACTCAGCAAGTTACTTTGTTTTATGTCTGGTTTCTTGCAACTCCCGACGTATATTGGAAAGCACCGGAATTGTGCTGAAGGCTGTTTTTCATCCATTTAAGCATTTGCTTTTAACTCAGCATAGATATCAGACATATTTGCTCTTAGCATCTTTACTCTGGTCCCGGATTCTGGTGGAGTCTCTGATCTACACTGTTGATTGCTTTCATTATCTTCAAAATGTGGATCGTACAAAGTGGCTCCCTACCCCTTTATCACAACACTGGTACTGTGACTGCAGAGAAATGTTTTTCAATAGTTTTTAGAATAATCTAATGGGGTGCATGGGACATTAGCTGGGCTTCGTGCGGAGGGGCAGCCAGGCTGCTAATTTGAGGGAACCGCGGCAAGAGACAATGGCACTAAAATGATCAAACGTTAAAAGCAGTCAAAGGAACAGCCTGTTTACACTGTCTTACAGTGACCACAAGGAGCTTTCTGGCTTTGTGGGTGTGTTTGTGTGTGTGTGTGCCCCTGTGGCAATGGGAGGGGGAAGAGCTTTGAGGCAGGCAGGGGTTGCATGTTTTAACATTTTTCGTGTTGACCTTTAAGTTCTTCTCAGTTCAGTTGTTACACTTTGAGCAAACAGATTGCAATATAAATAACACTTTGATTCCCACAGCTCAAGAGCAGCAAAAGTCCCGAATGAGTGACTGTCTGACTGACTGACTGAGGACTGACGGTCCACGCTCACAATGCATGTTCAGTGTATCCTGATGCCACACTTTACAGCTGTGGGTAACTGACTTGAGCAGATAGGAAATAGGATTGTACATATCATTCTGAAACCTAGATATCCAAATCCTCAGGAACCACTGGCTTATCTCACACTCAGTCAAACCACTCCCTCTGGTGTGGGTACATTGGCGTATCTCAGCACATCTCTCCTTTCAATGTCCTTTTGTTCAATGCTTTCTTACAGGGAGAAGGGAAATTGAGGGAGGAACCTACTGATCTCAGACTTGATATTGAACGGCGCAGGAAATATAAAGGCAAAGAGGGAGATCATAAAAAAGATGGCTCCAAAGTATCAAGAGATTCCAGCCATTCCCGGGAGCGTTCAAAGGAAAAGTCTGGAAAGTCTTCCAAATCAAGCAGGGAGTCAAAGAAGCAAAGGTACTGCTCAGTACTCTGGTATTAAACCTGACTGCGTCATATATTCCCAGATCGCCCACAAATATACAGTCAATTCACTTTACAGTATATTCTGTGAAGCGCTTTGAGACGTCTAGAAGACGTGAAAAGCGCTATATCAAATGCAAGGATTATTATTACAAATAGAGATGTTCTCACCAGTACACAGCGATAAGCATAAACAATGTACTCACAGTTAATACAAATATACAATATAGCCTTGAATGACAATAAGTCACTAAAAAGCTCCCAGATCAGTACACACAGCACAGTCCTTCCTGGTGCTTTAATTGCTGTATTTTCCCCTTCTCTCTTCCCCGGCCCTTTCCCCCCAGATTGTGCGAGTGCACACACATGAAAGCGCGAGGTTAGGGTGGTCTTAGTTCAGTTGTGGACTGGGGCTAGAGTTGCCTTCCATTGTATCTCCTTATTTCTCCCTTCTACCCATTAAAAATAAGTGTGGGTTGGAATGTTGATCCTAGCTCCTGAAGATCAGTTGCTCCAGCGTAGCCTGTGCTGCTGTCTTGCTCCACGTTAATAGTTTTGTGGAATTTTTCTCTCTGTAGGAAACGTAAAAAGGCTAGAGCTCGATCCAGCTCCCCCTCCTCCTCTTCCTCCTCCTCTGCTTCACACGAGGGCAAAGAGGAGGGAGATGAAGAGCGTGAGGAGCGAGAGGAGGGGGCGTCAGTCTTTAATCGGGCTCGTCTCGGATCGAAGGAGTTCATTGGCCTCCCTGGGAGAAGCAGAGCCCGTGGAACCTTTGTAAGTGGAGCTGGAATGTGTTTGTGCTCTGCGAGTTCTCGCTTAGTGCCAGGAGGAGGCTGTGTTAGCTGTGGGATGGATCATGTGGGTCGGTGCCTGTACAGCATGCCTCATCACAATTGAGATTTACAAGACTTCAGGACCAGGGGAGGTGATCTTAACATTGGAGCTAAGCTAGTGACATCAGACTGCGGGTGTGAGAGCTTGGGATCTGCCTGGAATCCCATGAAAACAGAATTGATTGGGATGTTGGAAGATGGGGTAACTGGCTATGGAGAAAAAATCGAGATTGGATTAAAGAGGCAAAGAGCTGCCATGATCCGATGTATTGATGGAGTGGTTTTAGCGGCCTGAAATCTTTACAGGCTTCCTTCTACGTTCTGTTCTCTCTCCCTCTCTTTACCCCACCACGGACCATTCACTCTTTGATCTTTATTATTCTGTAGCTCTAAATAGAAACATCTGAATCTAATTGCCGTAGGGAGGGGTGAAAAATACCTGTTTCATTCTTCAAGCTCTTTTCAAGCACAGAGAAGAATTGAGATGTTGAAAAGGTGCTGTTGGGTAATGCAGAAATGTGGGGGTGGAAGGGAGAGAAGAGGTGAAGGTGTGCTACTGAGTCTGTTCGGGATGTAGCTGAGTGAGTGGAAATATCATTCACCACGTGCAGTGATGAGGAGGTGACCGATTCCAAGGCTGGCATGTAAATCAGTGAGACTAACTTTCCCATTGGATCTTTCTGCTTCTGCAGCAGTTCAGAATAAGAGGCCGAGGATCAGGCAGGGGAGCTCTCCCAGGTCCCAGCAACATCGGTAACCCTGGCAATCAGACCTTCCCAGCTCGCCCCCGTGAAGAAGATTGGGACCCGAAGTACACGCCTAAGAGCAAGAAGTACTATCTGGTAGGTGTGGCTAACTGAGCAGTCGTGAGCACATCTAACAATCGAGATGCGCTGTGTAGACCAGGTCTGTGCTGAAGTGGGTTATCGAACCTTGGTCTGGGGCTGAGGTGGACTGAATCGAGTCCCCACAATGGAGTGCTTTTTCAACCAGATTAATTGGCCTCACCATTCACTAGAATAATACCAAAAATGGGTGTTTTGATCTATGTAGAGCTGAGAGAAACTGAGATCTCCGTGAGTGTAAACTACCTTCAGTAGCCGAGTACAGGCTGCAGACTCCAGGTGTGTACCATGTGCTGCCATTCTTCACCAAGATTCCTGATTTGAGTCATGCTACGGGTTAGAAGAGCAGGAATTACCGAACCAGTGATGGAATAGAACTGACAAGCTGAGGAGAGTATCATTTGCTGCAGGACCGCGGTGGCTCATCCTACCTCAGTGTGCTGCTCAGTGTATCAGGGACGACAAGGATTCTACCAGCATTCCATTTTCCGGGAATAATTCTATGCCAACCAGACTGGTAAGGCTGGCATAGCAAACTCCTGGAAAAAGATGACTTGGAGGAAGAATTCCTACTGTGCAGGGCACTACTGTTCATTTATTTGGGAAAGTGGATGACACCCAATTCATATCATTCAGAACTCTGCAGTTTGTTTCCTCTCCCATAATCATCTCCTTGCCCGGCTCCACTGGTTCCCCATACCCCAGAGGTTCGAGTTCAAGATCCTCATCCTTACTTTTAAATCCCCCCGTGGTCGACCCACCCTACCTTTTGTGACCTTTAAATCCCTGGCAAAACAACAACAAAAACATATTGTATTTATGTAGCACCAACACTCCTGCTCCATCCACTTGGCACGCACTGGCCAGCTCCACAACTGCCACCATCACCAGTCAGGCCTTTAGCTTTCCTGCCCCACTCTCTGGAACTCTATCCTTGACGGATTCCCTTCGATTTGCCCCTTCCCTCCAAGGTCCATCTCACACCTTCCTCATTGACCACTCCTTCAGTCATCTTCCTCCTCCCACTCTTCCCAAATCCAACCCCCAGTTCGATTGCAAACCCTCCACTGTCTAGCGCCTTGGGACATCCTCCCAATGTGCTGTTAATGCAGTTTGTTGTTGTTGAAAGGGCTAAACATGGAGCAGATTGAAATGACTGAACTCACCTCAGTGTGTTACTGCTCTTCCACTGCAGCATGATGATCGCGAGGGAGACCGAGACAACTACTGGAGCGGCAAGCGGGGCCGGGGCACCTTCCTGCGTGGCAGAGGCCGCTTCCTGTACAAAAAGTCCAGCCCGAGCCCTAAGTGGACGCACGATAAGTACCAAGGCAGCGGTGAGGAAGAGGAGGAGGAAGAGGAAGATGGGGAAGTGGGCAACATCGCAAACGAAGATGAGAAAACACCAAGTACAACAGAGCAGTAGGGAGGCCGTGGCAGCGGGAGAGGAGCTAGCCTGGGCACAATCTCCTCATTAGAATCAATTGAACTGTGATCCTGTGTGGGATCTCCATGGAGTTTACAGCGCAGTCGGTTATTAATTGTAGAGAGTGGGGGGAGGCAAAGGACCAAAGTTGTCTTTAATGCAACCTAGCATAAAATCTAATTCATCTGTCGATACCGGATAGAAGATTCTTCCTTTACTTCACAGCCCTACCCACCCATAACGCCGTTTGGGGGACGCCTTTTTTACTATTGCATGATGGTGCGACCTCTATCCACCTGAGCCTGCAGAGTTCCCTGTACCGCCAGCCGACAACCTGAGCGCTGGAGATTGGACCCAGCCAATGTGGGTCTCAAGCTGAAACGCTCTTCAACGGGGAGTCGTTGGTTAGTGTCCTCTGGAGACCCACGTGGGTTTAATGTCCCCAAGATCCTTGACCCGCACTGCACCAAGCGTCCCCAGAGCTAGTAACTCCTCCTTTTCTGTCAAAATTCCCCTTGATCACTCTTCCTCCCCCCCCCCCCCCCCCTCCCCCGAATCTTTGTGTCTCTGCTACAGCTGTTTTGCGCTGGAATGTAACCAAATTAAAATGTTTTATTTCAGGAGTAGAAAGTTTATAGTTCTTGTTTTTTTAAAAAAAGTTCTCTCTCTATCCCAATCCCTCCAGTGGTGATGAGTATAAATAGCAGAGGGCACAGCCTGTCTGTAGCACAACACCCACCCATCAGACCGGGACCTGTGGTGGAAGGGGGTGAGAAGCACACTCTGTAGCTCAGGAAAGAGAGACAGACCGTGGTGGCTAGCTGTGAAGGAACATAATCGGGTGCAACTTTTTTCCTTTTATTGATTGCTGAGTGAAGAGAGAGACAAGGGCAAGTTTACCCTGAATGTTGGCACTGTTGCTGACAGGCAGTCTCTAATCTGCTCACTGGAGTAAGACTGTACTCTGCTCCCCAGGTCCACGTTAGACTGGCCCCAGAGAAACGTGTGATTCTGCCAATCGGGTTGCCCCCAAACTGCTCCAGACCCTGAGATGTGTGTAACTCCTGTGTGTAAAGTAGTTGAGATATCAGGCTGGGGTAAGAAAGCCAGACTGCCGTACAATAAATACTCATCAGTTTCCTTTAAACCTCCAGTGATTGTTATCTGAGTGTTAATTCAACATTTAGTCAAAAATACTAAACTCGGAGCCATGTTTTATGTTCAGATTGATCCACACTGGGTCAACAGTGGACAACAGCCTGACACTGCACACTCTGACCACGTTACTGTCAGAACAGAGAGGCCCTGAGATTCAAGACCTGCGCTCCTCTCCACCTGTCCACGAACAAAATCCCTTTTTTTTAAAAAAGGTGAAATGCGGAGCAAAAATACATTGCTCTGACTGATTCTGTGTGTGAAGCAGTCCTGTTCAATGCTGACCTGTCAGACCCCACCCACAAACAAGCTACGCAGATTGCCAGACTTACGTATAGCCCCCTCTCCCCCACCCCCCCAAAAAAATATCATTTAAACTCATTTTCCCAGCACAAATCTACGTCTTGCTCTTTTTTTTGCTTCCTCTCCATGACTGTTTCTACTTTGATGAGCTTTTCTGCTTGAGGGTGTCACATACGAGTTACAGCCTATGACAAAAATCAGGGCCCTGACAAGAGGAGGAAACGTCACACACGCTCGCTCCTCCATCTCTGCATAGTCAGACCTCAGCGAGTTGCTAGTCTGATCCACAATTGACTCCAGGAGCAGAGCCTGGGGAAGAGGGTTTAAGTGTCCAGACCTGGTTGGTGTTGACAATCTGGTCTCTTGCTCCCCGCATCGCATCCCGCTCCAGTTTTGTTTTATTTTTATGTTTGTATTAAGAAAAATACCTGTTTCTTAATGTAAAAAAAAGTGACGTGTGCTCTTTCATTGCAATAAAGCATTGAATTTTTTTTTATACATAGGAGTAAATGCTGTTGAGGGGGAGCACACAGATGGGGAGGTGCGGGTGCACTTATTTTTGTAACTGTTTTGCTGGATGCCTTATCTCAAACAGCCAGTTATTCTGAATTGACCACATTTTTATCCTGGCATTTACTTGTTAATATTTCTCTCCCTGGCGTTGTCATTTTCAGCCGCGTTCTCCCCTCAACTTGTAGTTCGGCTCATGTGAGAAGCATCATGTTTGATTTTAATTAAATGCTTTTGTGCCGTCCTTGTCTTGTCAATCTATTCTATCTCCGCTGCAGCCGGTTTTAAAAGGGAATTCCCATCCCCGCAGTCGGGAGTGTTTAGTCTTAAAAGACAATCCTGTCTCTAATCTTGCAACCAATCTTAAAGGAATATTTCCTTGGATTTGATATGACTGGTATTAATAGGCAATCTTGTCCCCGCAATCAGGTTTCAGTCTTAAAGGGACATTCCTGTGCCTGCCTTTCGTGCAGTCGGTCTTAAGGCGACAAATGTACCATTCAATAATAAGTTTCCATGGTAATTATTTGACAAGTCACTAGAGCAAGCAAAATCTGTACAGAGGAGATAACAGCTTTAGTTCAGCATGAAAAGTGCCTTGCTGTACCCCAAGGAGAGTGGGAGATTTAATTGCAGACAAAATCCATCAGGAAAATAATTTGTTGCATCAATTCCACTTTGTCTGGGCAGCTTTTTCTCAAAGGGGTGTCGTGCTGTTCTTGTCCCTCCTACTTTCCGTGTCACCTTTACCTCTCATCAATATTGTTCCCAGCCTCGCCTCTCACTATCCTGGGTTCTCACTGTCCATGAATGAAATGGAGAACAGCCTCTCATACAAAGAAGTTACTCGTCACATCAATCTATGTAGACAATTGAATAATAGGCGTCACCCCGGCTTATTGATAACACTTGCCTCTGGGCCAGAAGGCGGTTGGTTTAAGTTCCATGTCAGGAGCTTATAATCCAGGCTGATGCTCCAGTACCACGCTGGCGAATCGCTGTATTATTTGACATGCCGATCTTTTGCTGAGGTGTGACTCTTGGGGAGGGGGGGGGAGGGTATAAGTGGGGTCTCATTGGAGCTAATCTGAGCCAGGTGGGTCAACCATACTCCAGGGCACAACTGCTCACGCACCACTCAGCCAGGCTCATCATTTAGAATTGAAGGAGTGGACTTAATAACAATCTTTGTGTTTGACATGGTGTTTTATCAAGTTGATGAAAGGAATCCTAAATGCTTCACAGAATTTACTATGGAGCTTTGGCAAATATGACAGCCACTCTGTGCACAGAATCCCACAAAAAGCCATAAATGTTTTGTTTGAAGAATTGTTGGCCAGGACACCAGGAGAAACTCCCTTCTTGACATCCACCTGAACAGGCATCCGAGCATCTCATCTGATACAACAACAACAACAAATTACATTTGTATAGCTCCTTTCACATCGGGAGGACTTCCCAAGGAGCTGAACGGGTAGAGTTTCGGACCCGAGCCTGGGGTCGGGGAGGATGGAAGGCAGGGGGGGAAGCAGGGAAATCAAAAGCACGGTCAAAGAGGAGGATCTTGAGATGGCTGTTGAAGGTGGCAAGGTAGGGGGCGAGGCGGAGGGACTGCGGGAGGGAGTTCCAGAGGGTGGGGGCAGAGTGGCTGAAGGTCCTCCCGCCAATAGTGGAGTGAGCGAGGTGGGGGACATGAAGCAGGCCGGAGCCTGCTGAACAGAGGGAGCGGACAGGATGGTAGGGGGTTAGGAGGTCGCAGAGGTAGGGGGGGGGAGCAAGACCATGGAGGGCTTTGAAGGTGAGGACCAGGATCTTGAACTGTATCCACTGTGTGATGGGAACCCAGTGGAGTTGGGTAAGGATGGGGGTAATAGGGTTGCAGAGCCTAGAGCGGGAGAGGACACGAGCTGCAGTGTTCTGGACGATCCGCAGCCTGTGGAGGGAGGAGTTGGTGAGGCCAACAAGCAGGGAGTTTGCATAGTCGAGCCTCGATGTAATGAAGGCGTGTATGAGGGTTTCGACAGCCTGCGGTGTGAGACCGTGTTGGAGCCGGACGAAGTTGCGGAGGTGGGGGAAAGCAGAACAGGTCATAGTGAAGATGTGGGGTAGAAAGGATAGTTGAGGGTCAAACAAGACCCCAAGGTTCCAGACTGGCTTAGGAGGTAGAGTATGCAATCATGGATGGTGATGCTGTCAGCGCCTGAGGTGAGGAGGAGAGCCTTGGTCTTGTACATGACGTGTCTGACAACACAGCACCCCACCAGCACTATATTGGACTGTCAGCCTGGATGGAGCTCAAAATCCTGATGTGGGGCTCAAACCCAGAAAGTTGTTACTCAGAGATGAGAGTGCCTGCAACTGAGCCAGCTGGGTCAGTGGGGTACAGGTTTCTTTGCACTCCCAACAGATATTTCTAGCTGGATATCAACAACAACAACAAGATTGCGTTTATAGAGCGCCTTTCACGTCGGGAGGACGTCCCAAGGCGCTGGACAGTTGGGTCGGGCCCCGAGCAGTGGGGAAATGGTCAGGGTGAGGGGAGGGAAGGGAGGGAGCGAGGAGGGGGTAGAGAGTCAAGAGGGGAGCTGAAGTCAGGAACCTCACCAATGGCTTGCTACCACAAATTGGCTGCCGATTTCACCCACAAAACACATTCCACTTTACAATATATCTTGTGAAGCACTTTATAAAGCTTGCATTTAGTAAACGCCTTATCATATTGTTGAGATGCCTCAAAGCGCTTCACAGAATATTCTGTGAAGTAGATTGTGTATTTTGTGAGCAAAGTACGGCAACCAGTTGCACACAGCAATGTCTCTCTTTGGGACGTCCTCCTGAAAGGTACAAAATCCAAGAATTATTATTATAACTGACACAAAGTTCAGTCCTGTGTTGCTCAGCTCGGGCTTCTGAGCTGATGATATTAACACCATAGGACTGATTACCTTGCCACAGAGAGGTCACAGTTCCGGGCTGATTCTGAAGCTGTAGCAATTGTGAACTCTGAATTGGATGGTGGTTTTCCACTCGATTTTTAATTAACAGAGTCCACAGATGTTCCCAGGACAATCTTACTAAAGTAACGAACGACAACAACTTGCATTTATATAGCGTCCCTCACGTAATGTAGCGTCCCAGAGCACTTGACAGTGCGGAGTACGACAAACAGTGCGAGCAACGTGGCTTCAGCTGTGAGTGACTTGACAACCCTGACCCTAGAGTCCTGACCGAAGTAGCAAACAGGAGGTGCTGCTCTTAAAGGAGGCTTCAAAGCCGATTGGGGGAAATGTGCTGAGGTCTGAGAAATGTGCCTTGGGGTCGGCTGGTTCACAGGGCCTGAAATAAATGCGGGTTGAGTGGCAGGGCTTCGGGAGGAGATGACCAGGACCGCTTGTGCTGATTCAGGTGTTGCACTGAACTGTAGAAGCAGGGAGCATTCTGTCTTGGTCCTTACTAAAGATAGTTTTCTCACTTGCATATCTGACTGGTGTTGGCTTCTACCTTAACAGCTGCCATGTGTACGCTACAGTATTATTTGTGACAATGCAGTGCCCCACAATACTGAACTATCAGCTCACATCACAATATGAGGTTTGAACTCGTTGCCTTTCTGAGCCAGAGACAAAAGGCTACCAAATGTACTACGTCTGAATGGTTATGAGACTTGCTTTAAGGAGTGGCTTTAAGGTATTTATGTAATATTTTCTACATGCATTAGTTCAATTGTATCAAGTAACTTAGCTCAGTCTAATTCAGTTGGTGGCACTATCCTACGATAGCACTGAAAGCTCAGCATTGTCAGAGATCCTATCTTTTGGGTTTAGTTGAGTTTTCAAAAGTTTCCAAAGGTACAATTTGTTTGTGAATGCGAGAGGATGTTTGTGGGAAGTATAGGTCTGGCATTTCTGGGAGTACTCTTAAGATAAAGGAGCGATTGAGCAATTCTGTAGTTAGTGGTTAGAGCACTCATCTCGCAAGTGGACCTGGTTTCAATTCCTGGCAGTGTGAAACATTGGGCAAGTTTCCTTACTCCACACGTCTCAGCAGTAAGTAGGAACCCGGTTGATTGGCGGATCGCTTTTCCAGAGGCAGTAATCCCTTCAAGTAAATAAATAAATAATAATTTGGTCACTCAATCCCCGATTGTTTGTGGGACGCTGCTGTGCGCAATTGGCTGCCTTGTTTTGCCCACAAAAATACAGTCAATTCACTTTACAGTATATCCTCTGAAGCGCTTTGAGATGTTTCGAAGACGTGATAAGGCACTGTATCAAATGCAAGGATTAGTATTATTAGTTATTATAATTCAACAATTTGCATTTACATATCGCCTTCATGCGGGGCAGCATCTCGGAACATTCAAATTCACTTTTTCTGGGTCCTGGCGCTGGTGATGTGGAGGAACAAGGCTTCTGTCTGCCTATCAGTGGGGAGGGAAAGGGGACGTGGAGGTCACTATCATGTTTCACATCTGCGCTTCTCTTGGAAAATTGTTTTGCACAGAACAAGATGCTACAAACAGCAGTAAGGTTAGTGACGAATATATGTGGGGGATTATCGAGCCGGACATTGGGAGGAACTTTCTTCTCTTTTCAAACACTGTCATGGTATCATTTGTGGAGTCCTGTAGCTCAGTGGTTGGAGCACTCGCTTTGCAAGCGAGAGACCTGAGTTCAATCCCAGGCAGAGGGCGAAACCTTGGGCAAGTTTCCTTACTCCACACAGAGCCGAATAATAATCCCTCCAAAACCAAAAACAATAATAAATTGGTCATTTTCAATCCACGACTGTTTGTGGGACATTGCTGTGCGCAATTGGCCGCCGCGTTCGCCCACAAATATACAGTCAATTCACTTTACAGTGTGTTCTATGAAGTGCTTTGGGACGTCCTCCCGACGTGAAAAGCGCTATATCAAATGCAACGATTATTATTATTATTATTATTATTAACATCCACCTGAACAGAATGGATCTCTGTTTCATCCAAATGATAGCAATGCAACACTCCAATGGAGCAACAGCCGAGACTGTCCTAATATAGAGATTAAACCCACAACACAGTGTATGGTCACATGAGTGTTACATAGATCCTGATGCTGGTGCTGTGAATTATCATCTCTGGGATTTGGGTTTTGATCCACATGAAGCTGACTGTACAAGTTGTTCTATATGAAATATTTTAGTTGCTAGTCATGGAGTCCCATAGCGTAGTGGTTAGAGTACTCACCTCGCAAGCGAGAGGACCCGGGTTCAATTCCCATGCTGGGCAAAACCTTAGGTAAGTTTCCTTACTCCACACGCCTGGTTTACCTCGCAGTAAGTGGGAAACCGGTTGTTAGTCCATTGGTGGATCGCTTTCCAGAGGGTAATAATTTCACAAAATAAATTTGGTTATTCATATCCACGACTATTTGTGGGACACTGCTCTGCACAATTGGCTGCCACATTTCACCCACCAAATACATAGTCAATCTGCTTTACAATATATTCTGCAAAGTGCTTTGAGATGTCTCAATGACCCAATAAGGTGTTATACCAAATGCAAGGATTATTAGTCTTAATTATCATAAAATGTATGGGCCGAAGGCATAAAGACGGACTTATCTGACACCAAACCAGCAAACTGGACCTGACTGTTCATGCTGATAGTAGGGGCCTGAAATGGGTCATTTTTCTATTCCTCCATAAAAGGAGATAACAGAGTTAATTCTACAATATTTTTTAAAGAATTCCTGTGGAAATGTCACAGGAACACAGTCTATTTTACAGGGTGCCCTCAAGTCAGGGTAATGTGCAATGTCCAGTTAACAACAACAACTTGGATTTATATAGCACCCTCCACGCCGGACGGAGTCTCAGAGCGCTTCACAGTAACGGATCCCGGGGCCGAGCGAGGGGGAGGGGGAGGAAGGTGACCAAAGGCACGGTCAAAAAGAAAGGTCTTCAGCAGAGACCTGAAAATAGGAAGAGGGAATAAGACGAAGGGAGTGAGGAAGGGAATTCCTGGCAGTTCACCGCCAACTGTGGCTCGAGCATTTCCACAGCGACCGCCATTCTTTGACACGCACAAAAACGGCCTTCTACTCCAACATCATCTTGGAGGCTAAACACAACCCCAAAATCATTTTTTCCACGACCCACAACCTCCTCCGTGCCCCCCCTCAGGCCTCCTCAATCTTCGTATCAAATGTCAAGTGCGAGGAGGTCATGGACTTCTTTTCAGCCAAAATTCACAACGTCCGCCAGGCAGCCTCATCCACCTGCCCCTTGTCACCCACCACCAACACCTCTCCGTCCCCCTTACCCTCCCTATCATCAGCTCCTACCACGACTCCCATCCTACATTCCTTCCTCCGCATCTCTCCCTCCTCCCTCTCACCCACCATCACCTCCATGAAACCCACCACCTGCGGCCTCGACCCTCTCCCCACCAACTCGCTGGTCACCCTGTTCCCCCTCCTCTGCCCACTACTGGCTGATGTCATCAACCAGTCCTGCTCCTCCAGACCAGTCCCTGCCCCCTCAAAACTGCTGTCATCACCCCCCTCCTCAAAAAACCTTCGCTAGATCCCTCAAACCCCAGCCACTACCGCCCCATTTCTAACCTGTCCTTCCTCGCAAAAGTCCTAGAATGCGTTGTTGCCAATCAACTTCAGGGACACCTCTCCTCCAACTCTCTCTTTGAACCCCTCCAGTCCAGTTTCCGCCCACAGTACAGAGACTGCACTTGTGAAAGTCACAAACGACATCCTCTCTATCTGTGACCAGGGCTCCCTCTGCCTCCTTGTCCTCCTGGACCTCTCCACGGCGTTCAACAATGTTGATCACGCCATCCTCCTCCACCGCCTTTCCTCCGTCATCCACCTCAGTGGGACTGCACTCATCTGGTTCAAGTCCTATCTCACAAACCGCCAGCAGTACATCTGCACAAACGGCTTCTCCTCCCACTCTCACCCGGTCACCTGCGGGTACCCCAAGGATCCATCCTTGGCCCGCTCCTCTTTCTGATCTACATGCTCCCTCTTGGGGATGTCATCCGCAGACATGAGGTACATTTTCACATGTATGCAGATGACACCCAACTCTATTTTTCCACCTCTCTTTGTGACCCCCTGTTCTGCCTGTCAGATCTCAGGGGCTGGATGAGCGCAAATTTCCTTCAGATGAACGTTGACAAGACGGAAGCCATACTCTTTGGCTCTCATCAACATCTAAAATCTCAAGTTTCTCACCTCCTCCACCTACCCGACCTCCCCCTAAAACTCTCCGAACCCGTACACGACCTAGGAGTCAGGTTCACCCCCCAATTATCCTTCCACCTCCACATCCGGTCCCTCACCAGCACCGCTTTCTTCCACCTCCGACACATCATCCGTCTCCGCCAATACCTCTAATAATGATAATAATAATAATCTTGCATTTGATATAGCGTTTTTCACGTCGGGAGGACGTCCCAAAGCGCTTCACAGAACACACTGTAAAGTGAATTGACTGTATATTTGTGGGCGAACGCGGCAGCCAATTGCGCACAGCAATGTCCCACAAACAGTCGTAGATTGAAAATGACCAATTTATTATTGTTTTTGGTTTTGGAGGATTATTATTAGGCTCTGTGTGGAGTAAGGAAACTTGCCCAAGGTTTCGCCCTCTGCCTGGAATTGAACTCAGGTCTCTTGCTTGCAAAGCGAGTGCTCTAACCACTGAGCTACAGGACTCCGAAAGCCGCTGAAACCCTGTCCATGCCTTTGTCACCTCCCGGCTGGACTACTCTAACGCCCTTCTCGCCGGTCTCCCATCCACTACCATCCATAAAATCCAGATCATTCAAACTCTGCCGCCCGCACTCTCACCCGCACGAAACTCCGCTCCCCGATCCCTCCCGTCCTGGCCAGACTGCACTGGCTGCCTGGCCCAGAGTGGATCAACTTCAAGATCCTCACCCTTGTCTTCAAATCCCTCCACTCCTCTGCACCCCGACCTCTCTGACCTCCTCTCTCCTCAAAATCGTAATTCTCTTCCCAGATAACAGGAACTATTTCTCTCTCCCCGCCCTCCATTCAGATTTCGTAATTAAAAATCTATCAAGAAATACCTTAAATATTTACGCCAACAAGTGCAAACTGGACGGAACATTGGGGGCTGAGCTGCTTGGGGGTTGCTGGGTGTCTTGAGAGACTCGAGACATGTTCTGTCTGTTTTGAAGACAGTATCAGCCAGGCAACGACAATTTTAAGCTGGCTACAGGTTTCCCTAAACCTGTCTCACCTGTTTGTGCAGCTGCCTCCAGGCACATCCCACGTCACACTTTCTATCTGGTTGTTTTGCAAGAAATGCTCTATAGTGCAGTCAGTTGCGGAACTTTTCAGTCCAGTTTTGACTTGCATCCCGTACCCTGAGCAGTGCTTTGGAAATGCCGTTGTGTTGGGAGCCGTGCTGATCCTCCGGAGAAGAGGAACAACCATGGGTAAGCGGTCCAACTGGCCAAGAAAATCAGGTAGTGAGTAAGACTGCAACAAAGTGCAAAAGGTACACCTGAACTGAGGAGAGGTCGAGAGGTATTGAGACTATATCCTCAATGACCTGGAGGAGATACAAGGTACTAAACACTCTACAGAAAGAGCTGTGGTGTCTTGGCTTAATTCCATATTAATTTTTAATTACATTTTTGCAGAACAAAGTGCTCTACAACGAAACTGAGTGTGTTCTTTTAATGCAAGGATTATGGTTATCATCATTATTATTATCATCAATAATCGTGCCCGGCAAAGGGCTTAAACATGTCTGAATCGGTAGAGGTTTTGTCCTGCCTTTCTATCAGATTGCAACGAGATTTAACCATGATTCGTGTGATAATTAGTAAAGGTTGTTTTGGTGGCTGTGGTAATGCACTGCCTGCGCAGGCTGGGGCCTGAGACAGATCTTGTTGACATTGTTTTGCTTCAATCGAGTCTTTTTACACTTGCCATGCAGCTGTGTGTTTCTTCAAATGGGCTCAGCCCTGGAATCCTCAGGAACTCTGGTGCCTGAGACACTTTGCTTCTTCACCCTCGGTCTGAGCAGTGCCTCTTAGTCTCACACCCTGAATCTGGGCCAGTCTGTCAGTCACCCTCAGTCTGGCCAGGCCATTGCTGAACTCCTTGGCTGGTGGGTTCTGATCAATAATTAATGTCGTAGAATATTGTTAAGATGGTACAATAATAATCGTTGAATTGGGCCAAGTTGACACTCAAAGAATTGAAATCCTGTGTGATTAACATTTCCAAGGCTTGTGACGCTAGATTTAAACAGTGCCTGAGAGGTGCTTTGTGGTGCTCTGTAACAATCTGCTGGTGTATTTAATAATAGTAGTAATAATAATAAACCTTGCATTTGATATAGCAGCTTATCATGTCTACGAGACGTCTCAAAGAGCTTCACAGAATATAAAGAAAATACTGTAAAGTGAATTGACTGTATATTTTGTGGGTGAATCGTGGCAGCCAAATGCGCACAGCAGTGTCCCACAAACAGTCGTGGATTTAGTGACCAAATTATTATTACTATTTTGAAGGGATTATTATCCCTGGAATTGATTAACCTCCAAGTTCCTACATACTGCTAGGTAAACAGGGGTGTGGAGTAAGTAAACTTGCCCAACATTTCTCCCTGCCCGGGAATCAAACCTAAGTCCTCTCGCTTGCGAGCCGAGGGCTCTAACCACTTTGTTACAAGTTTAACTTGTAGTTTGTACATTTGCTCAGTTAGTTATAACGTGGCCCCTGGGGCAGAAGGCTATGGGTTGCAGTGCTGCTTGAGCTCACAGTGCTGATGGAATGCCCCTTTGTGAGATATGTCATCTTTTCTGATCAGACATTAAACTGAAGTTCCCATCTGGTCGATAAGGTGGACGTTGAAGAGCCCACCTTGAAGCTCTCATCAAATTTAGACAAATTCAATCTCCCCAGCAACGGGGACAGCTATCCAAATTGGAAAGCCTGATTATCTCCTTGGATTACCAACAATAGCCAAAAAAATACAGCCATCAAAGATGAGTCATGTGTTTGACTGGCCTCCACACTGGAGCAGCTTCTGTTAAGCATGACACCTCAGTTACCCTGTTGTGGAGGAATGTGTTTAATAATAATGATCCTTACATTTGATATAGCGCCTGATCACGTCTTCAAGACGTCGCAAAGTGCTTCACAGAATACACTGCAAAGTGAAAATCTGCATATTTTGTGGGTGAAACATTTAGTGCATGAACAGCTCTCTGCTATTTGTACATTGTGCAAGAGTCACCTTTTTCCTGCTGTCACAGGACTCGGCCATTTTGTTCATTTCTCTCTCTCCCTAGTGACCATCATTGTTGTGAATGACTTTGAGACCCAGAAGACAGGTGAATTGAACCTTCGCGTTGGGGAAGTGATAACAAATGCAAGGCAAACGGATCAGGAAGGCTGGTGGTACGGTGAGCTGGACGGCAAATGGGGACGATTCCCCTCCAAGTTCATCAAGGTGAGTGAAGTGAGGCCAGACCCTCTGTGGCTAATGGGGTCAAGTCACGTCCCGCTCACACTGACCCCAGGGAACCCAAATCCAGCTGTTGGGTTTGAATTAGCTAAATAGCGTAGTGTGAAACCCAATGACCTGCGAGACATCCATCCAATTCGCAAATGAGTCTGATTCCTTCTAAAATTATTATAATAATCATCGTTATATTTGATACAGAGCATTTTCACATCTGCGAGACGTCTCCAAGCGCTTCACAGGATAGCACTGTAAAGTGAAGTGACTGTATTTTCCGGGTGAAAGCGGCACAAGAATGTCCCACAAATAGCTGTGGACTGAGCGACCAATTTTATTGAGTGGATTGTTGGCTTGGAACCTGGGAGAGAGAAACTTCATTCTCTTTTTGAATATTGAGATGGGATCTTTAAAGTCCACCCGAACAGGTGAGACCTCAGTTTAATGTCTCATACAGAGGACCACACCTCCAACAATGAACCCCCAACTCCCGCCCCCTCCCAGGCTCAGAACCATACCCTGCAGTGTTCTTACTCCCTGAGACATTTAGGCAAAATCTCTCATTTATTCATCTTTATGTGGCAATATAATATAATAATCCTCGCATTTGATATAGCGCCTCATCACGTTTTCGAGACATCTCAAAGCGCTTCACAGGATACACTGCAAAGTGAATTGACTGTATACTTTATGGGAGAAACTTGGCAGCCAACTGAGCACAGCAGCGTCCCACAAACAGTCATGGATTGAGCAATCAAATTATTATATTTTTAAATTTATTTTTGAAGGGATTATTACCCCTAGAAAAGCGATCCACCAATCGACTACCAACCAGGTTCCTACTAACTGCTAGGTAAACAGAGACGTGTGGAGTGAGGAAACTTGACCAACATTTTGCCCAGTCTTATACAATACTGTGTAAGAAACAGCAATGCACACTGCACAGAGAGACAGTAAATGTATAGGTGTGATGGCAGGACAGTGAGTTACAGGGCGAGAGCAACTCACAATTGTGGTTGTCGTTGCTCTTAATTATAGTGAAACTATTGCAACCACAGAGTAATGCACCAGACAACAAACAAGGTTGTTTATCACACAGGAAAATATATCAACAACAAAATTACATTTCTTTAGTGCCTTTCAGGATCTGAGTGGGAAGAATCCTTGCCCCCAGTGACTGGTCTTGTCCCTCCAAGTCCTATTGATGAGCCAGGCTGGAGTACTACCTACACCGCCTGGCTTCACAGGATAACACTGGAGGACGCTGGAAGGACATCAAGCACTTCACAAAGACCTGCCCTGTAGCTCAATGGTTAGAGCACTCGCTTTGCAAGCGAGAGACCTGAGTTCAATTCCAGGCAGAGGGCGAAACCTTGGGCAAGTTTCCTTACTCCACACACCTAATAATAATCCCTCCAAAACCAAAAACAATAATAAATTTCAATCTACGACTGTTTGTGGGACATTGTTGTGCGCAATTGGCTGCCGCGTTCGCCCATAAATATACAGTCAATTCACTTTACAGTGTGTTCTGTGAAGTGCTTTGGGACGTCCTCCCGACGTGAAAAGCGCTATATCAAATGCAAGGAAAAAAAAAGACAGAGTGGGAGACTGAGCAGTATATCCCACCTGAGCAGGAAGAGTAGCCAGATGGTGACCAAAAGCACAGGCAAAGATTTACTTTTAGACAGTTTCTGAAAACAGAAATGACAAATAACCAACTAGTGACTTTCCTCTTTGGGCGGGGAGATAAGTGAGGCTTCTTTGGAGGTGAACTGGCCTCAAGGTGACAGGCTTAGCCAAGGAATGTCAGAATCAAGTCAGCCCTCCGTGGCAGTCTCTGTAGTCGAGTTTGTGAGCCAGGCGGTGTAGGTAGTACTCCAGCCTGGCTCATCAATAGGACTTGGAGGGACAGACCAGTCACTGGGGGCAAGGATTCTTCCTACTCAGATCCTGTTAATGCTGCAAGCGAATGACAGAGTGGTCCTGGCTGGACAAGCAGCAGGAAGACAAGCTTGCCAGGCCACAATATCAATGGCTAGCTGAGTGGTTTAGCTGGTTAGACTCCTATTTCACCCACAAAATATACAATCAATTCACTTTACAGTATATTCTGTGAAGCTCTTTGAGACGTTTAGAAGATGTGATAAGGTGCTATATCAAATGCAATTATTATTACTATTATCATACACTTTGGAATTCACGAGATTTACTCTATCTTTATTCTACCTAATAGTCATAGACAACAACAACAAGATTACATTTGTATAGCACCTTTCATGTTGGGAGGATGTCCCAAGGCACTGGACAGTGTACAGCATTTCAGACCCGAGCTGGGGTCGGGGGGGGGAGAAGGGAGGGGAGGGGAAGAAAGAGTCTGACACATGAAGAAACCTGTCACAAGTATGCAAGCCAGGTGGAGTTCCATGCATCCACCTACACATGGAAATTCTCATATATTAAAATGCAATGCATACTCTCTCCCTCGAGGTCATAAAAACATAAGAACAGGAGTAGCCCATTCGGGCTAAGGCGATATTAGGGACAAAACAAAATCTCGAGATTGCAAACAGACTAAATGATTAAATACTGCTCTTCTGAAATCTGTGCCAAATTAGCTTTGATGTGTGTGTGCCCACACCCACTAGTTGCTGTGTGGAGGCTGCCAGGAGTAATTTCACACACAGTAAGTTTACAGGGACGACCCAACCCTCCAGGGAGATACAGCATTTGATGTTAAATGAGCATTTTGGTTCTAACCCATCCTGTACCTGTCCTGGGAACACTGCTCCCTCAATACTCCTGCACAGTCGCTCAGGGCTAATCTGCATCCTGGAAGGAGCAGGTCAGGTGCTGTGAATTAGCACTAAATGACCATGGATTAACACTGACAGCGACGGTGGATTAAATAAATAATAACACTTGCATTTGGTATAGCTCCTTCTCATGTCATCGAAGCATTCAAAGCACTTCACAGGATTTACTGTAGAGCATAGTGACTGTGTATATGTCAGGTGAACACGGCAGATAACATCCCACAAACAGTCACAAAGTAAATGACCAGTTTTATCTGTGGGATTAGTGGCCTGGACACTTGGAGAGAGAAACTCCCTTCTCTTTTCAAATAGTGTCATTGGATTTTTAACGTCCCCCTGAACAGGCAGATGAGATCTTGGATTAATGTTTCATCTGACAGACAGCACTTCCAACAATGCATTTTTGCTCAAAGCGGAACACAGATGGACATGAATGGGAAGGACAATTAGAGCTATGGTCACCCCGGAGTCTCTCTGGTTTCAGAGATCACACTGACACACAAGGCGGGTTAACTTCAAACGTCCATCCTCAAAATGATGCCTTATGACAGAAAATAGATACCTAGAATGTTCTTTGTATTGGCTGAAATAGATGGATCCATAACTCAATGCTGGAGATGTGGCCCTTTGCTGGATGCTGGTGAATTGGAGAGTTACAGTGATGGGTTAGATTCACAAACAGTTAAAGAAATACATGATCGTTAAACCTTGCTCTGTTTAAAGGATGTTCTGAAACCACTCCTGGCACACACAGCTTCTGAATGGTTGTGTTGTTGCAATCAGACAGAGAGAAAGAGACTGAGAAAATGAGAGAGAGAGCGAAAGAGCGACAGAGGCATTCTCTCTCTCTCTCTCTCTCTCTCTCAATCTCTAGTTCCCTCAGTCTCTCTCACAGTCTCACTCTCTCTCTCTCCCTCAGTATATCTCCCTCAGTCTCTCTCTCAATTTCTCTCTTTCAGTCTCTCTCTCTTTCTCTCTCAGTCTCTCTCTCGGAATCACTCCTGAACTAACACAACATGCCCAGCATTCCTGTCCCTCTGGGCAGGGCTGCTCTCAGGTTTGGACATGAACAGCTCACAGGTAGGAATGGGCTCGGTCTGCTCTTGTTAACAGATGAATAACTCATCCACTCACAGAGATCGGCTGTCTTTTCCTGGCCTTGTCAATCATACCACTTGATTGGGAGCCTAATCTGCCCTTTACACCGTTGCAGGCAGTGTAGTGGACAGGAGGATATTAAACAATGCTCTTGTGCTAGTGGTGGCTTGGAGTTTGTTTAACTACCTATAATAATATAATAATCCTCAAATTTGGTACAGCCTTTCACAATTGGAGAATGCCACAAAGCGCTTCACAGAATTCACTGTAAAGTGTAGTGATTGTGTATCTTGCGGGCGAATGCAGCAGCCAATTTGAACACAGCAATGTCCCACAAACAGCCAATGGACTGAGTGACCAGTTTTGTTTGGGGTATTGTTGGCCAGGACACCATGAGAAACTCCCTTCTCTTTTCGCACAGCGCCACGGGATTTTTAACGTCCTCCTGAACAGGCCGACAAGTGGAGCAAACCCCAGCACTCTGTTGGATTGTCAGTTTAGATTAAATGATTTATGTTGGTGCCTTGGAAGGATAGATTGCCTGATTCCTGTAGAAATGGAAACACAAACATGTATAGGAACGTGGGTGATTAGGAACAGGAGAAGCCATTTGGCTCATCGAGTCTCCTCTGCCACTTCCCAGCCCAAGTAGCACGAACCTGCTCTAATCCCATCCTGCCTGCATGCCATGTCCTTCAATATTTTACTCTTCAAATATCTAGTTCATCTATGAAATCTCAACTGATTTCTCATCTCTGGATTTTGGGGACAATGTGTCCCAAATCTTTACCAATCTCTGTGAGAAGAAATTTAACCCGACTTTGGTCCTCTCCCACTTTCACCCTAATTGTAAAGTCCTGTCCCATCACCAGGGGGAAACGTCACTTCAGTTTAGAATCGTAGAATCTTACAGAAGGAGGCTCTTTGTTCCTGTGCCGTCTCTTGGAAAGAGCTATTCAATTATTCCCACTCACTATTTCCCAATAGCCTTGCAATTTTTTTCCTTTTCAAGTAAATAACCAATTCCCTTTTGAAAGTTATTATTTGCATCTGCTTCCACCACCCATTCAGGCAGTGCATTCCAGATCGTGGTGTAAAACAAATTCTCATCTCCCTCTCAAGCCTTTAACGATCCTAAATACCTCGATCAAAACGGGAATCAAACCCACTCGAGTGGATCCCAGCGTCAGTTTGTTGAAGTATAACTTTGTTCACCTTCACCTCTGTACCCACAGTCTGACACTGAACCTGTCTATGTTTACAGGAGATTCCATCTCGTTTCCTCGGTGACACGAGCCAGACGCAGCCCCGGTCAGTGCGATCGAGTAAGTCCAGCTTTTACTCTGGGTTTGGGTTTGAGTGAGGACACTGAGAGCCTTCTTCTCACTGAGACAACTGTCAGACTTTCCCTAATTACCTTGAAGATCAGCGCTGAGAAACGTATCACCTCCCCCTTGTCAGCGATAGATTAGATACAGAGTAATAATAATAATCCTTGCATTTGATATAATAATAATAATAATAATCCTTGCATTTGGTATAGCGCTTTTCACGTCGGGAGGACGTCCCAAAGAGCTTCACAGAACACACTGTAAAGTGAATTGACTGTATATTTGTGGGCGAACACGGCAGCCAATTGCGCACAACAATGTCCCACAAACAGTCGTAGATTGAAAATGACCAATTTTTATTATTGTTTTTGGTTTTTTTTTGGAGGGATTATTATTAGGCTCTGTGTGGAGTAAGGAAACTTGCCCAAGGTTTCGCCCTCTGCCTGGAATTGAACTCAGGTCTCTCACTTGCAAAGCGAGTGCTCTAACCACTGAGCTACAGGACTCCCTCTGCACTGCCCCATTCAGCACTCAGGCACAACACGTGTTAGATCCACAATAAAGTTCTCTCTGTAAACTGGGTGTGAACTGGTAGAAAAAAGTGATCAATGGCACAAGGCTGGATTTTTAACACAGCGAAATCAAGTTGTGTGCATGTGCGTGACGTTATGCACCAAAGTAACCTCTGGCACATACAAAATTCAGAACAGGATTTTCCCCTCAGCAAAAAAAGTTAGTCTCATAAGATAAGTGTTAAAATATACGCCTGAAGATGAACGTAGTGCAATAAAATATAACTTTGATGCTCTTGTGTCCTCAAGGCAACATTATCTCTCAGCTTCTAAATATGGCAAGGCCTACGGTTTTTTGCTCCACATTTTGCCGCTGTCTTGGGATTGATACCAATATCATACTAATGGCTCCTAACCTTCCCAACTACCCAGGAAGCTGGAAAATCTAACAGCCGGTTTCTGCCCCAGTATTGCGTTAGCTCAGTGACCAAGTCCACCAATCTGCAATGGAACATTCCAAGGATTCGAAAAAAAATTGCGCGATTCCTGCAAGTTCGCAGATGCGGCCATTCTCTCTAACTGACCCTTCTCAGACACTGAGCTCCTGCCAGGAACCTCATTTGGATACGATATGACTTCACAGTAATCAGGAAAGGGAATGCAATCCTACCAGAGGTCTGGAGCTTCAGCCTGAGACACATCCAGGGACATGCAAGATCCACTATTTGCTAATCGTTTTACCAATTCTGCAAATGATCTTCTTACAATGGGAAGGAAAGCTGCCTTGAGCAGAACAGGATTGTGTTGTGTGTATCATCTTTCCTTTTAGACACATTCCACATTGTTCCATGCCAATGTATTTTGCCTCTTATTGTTAGCAAGGGGTGGCTGAGTCATGTGTGCACGGGACAAACCAGATTGACCACATTCTCTAAAATTCTGTGCATAAAGGTGCCTATTTATAGACACTCTGGATCTGGCTAAAAAGAATAACATTACTCTGAGGTCAAAATTGCTAAATTGTGGTATTTCTGAACACATTCCATTAAAAGATTAACAAATGCTATTAAACCCTCTCCACTGACTTGAGACAAACCAACTAAGACACTACCCCTGAGTGAAGGGCACTAGATAAATGTAATTTATTGTTGTTGTTGACTGAACAACTTGGTAATAGGTAAAAAAGGATTGATGGATATAATGCCCGGCAGTGATGAGTGGTGTCTCACCAGAGGTTCCAGCTTTTCACCCGATACACAGTACATAAATGATGTGGATACAAAAATATAAGGCAATGTTTGTCAGTTTTTACTGAAGGAAGACATAATGCTGGCAGGTGTTTTGAAATGGCAAAGAGAAATAGACAGATAAAGCGAGAGGTCGAAACGTTGGCAGAATGAGAAGGAATATAATTTTGAAGACAAGAATAGTGTATAGGAATAGGATCTAAAAGGGAAATGCCAACAACAACTCCAACAAATTACATTTGTACAGTGCCTTCCACATCAGGAGGACGTCCCAAGGCGCTGGACAGTCAGGGATCTACACCCGAGCTGGTGGTTGGGATCAGGAGGGGTGGAGGGTAGGGGTAGGAGGGTGACCAAAGGCATGTTCAAAGAGGAGGGTCTTGAGACGGGTTTCAAGGAAGGGAAATGAGCAAAGGAATCCTGCGCTCCAAGTCCAAAAATTGTTCAATTCTAATTCTTAGTTGCACAACATAATCATTGAGGCTTAGGGCCTTTTTATAAAACTGGACTTTATAATCGAGCAATCTGGAATATAAACAAAGAAGTGCCTCTCCAGTTAGATAGACAGTTGGCAAGATCAGATAGTGTGTCAGCTTGGATCAGTGGTAGCACTCTCGCCTCTGAGTCAGAAGTGAGTTAACGTTTCAAGTCGATGACCCTTCGTCAGAACTCTGTGACCAAAATATTGTAGGGACAAATATATTTGGATGTAACCTCGGAGTATAGGCTGCTGCATTGCTGGAGAAGTACTACTTGCTAGATGTCCTTTGGTTGAGATTCAGATGCCGTCTGTTCAGGTGGACCTTAAAGATTCTGTGATACAATTGGAAAGAAGAAGGGAATTCCTCCCTGTGCCCCAGTCAGCAATACTCCAGTTCCCTTCATGGCTCTTTATACAACATTTACATTGACACAGCGAGACCCCACACATAGCCATGAAGTGAACGTCCAATACATCTGGAAGCTTGTCGGCCAGAACACATAAAGAGAGTCCAATGTAGTTGGTGAGACCAATTTATTATTGTTTGTTTGGAGAGATTATTATTAGGCTCTGTGTGGAGTAAGGAAATTTGCCCAAGGTTTCTGCCTGGAGTTGAACCCAGGTGTCTCACTTGCAAAGCGAGTGCTCTAACCACTGAGCTACAGGACTCCCTCTGCACTGCCCCATTCAGCACTCAGGCACAACACGTGTTAGATCCACAATAAAGTTCTCTCTGTAAACTGGGTGTGAACTGATAGAAAAAAGTGATCAATGGCACAAGGCTGGATTTTTAACACAGCGAAATCAAGTTGTGTGCATGTGCGTGACGTTATGCACCAAAGTAACCTCTGGCACATACAAAATTCAGAACGGGATTTTCCCCTCAGCAAAAAAAGTTAGTCTCATAAGATAAGTGTTAAAATATACGCCTGAAGATGAACGCAGTGCAATAAAATATAACTTTGATGCTCTTGTGTCCTCAAGGCAACATTATCTCTCAGCTTCTAAATATGGCAAAGCCTACGGTTTTTTGCTCCACATTTTGCTGCTGTCTTGGGGTGACTTTAGTTGAAGTTCGTAATGCTTGATCATTATCACAAGGAGCTTGTTATAAAACACTACTAAATTCTATGTCCAAAACATACCTGACAGCAGTCTGGAGTCCGAGGTTTCTGCCATGTCCTGCCGTTGTTGGCATCTCTGTAGCTCTTCACAGTGAGAAGGATTGACGATGCAATGCCAATATGGTACCACTGTGTGGCACTGAAGCTTCTCCACATAGAATCATAAAACCCTGCGATTTTAAGAGCCTTTAATGATTTGAAGCACTCTCCTGCAGTAACTTTTTTTTAATTAGCGAGCATCAAGGTTTCACAACCAGCCATGAGGTGAATGATTAACCTGGGGATTATTGACCAGGAGACACGGGGAAACACCCTTCCGTTTTCCAATACTAATGTGAGATTTTTAACAAGCATGTGAACAACAGGCATCTCATCCGAAGGGCAGCACCTGTGCCAATGCAACGCTCCTACTTTTATAAGAATCTGTAAACTCAGTGACATTGGCAGAGAATTTCACATTTCACATTCTCTGTAAAGATATTTTTTTCTCTGACATCGCTTTTAATTCCTTCCGAGAGAAATTTGTGTGCTCTTTTTACTGACTCTCCCGGCTGGTGGAAATAACCCATCACTCTTTGCTGTATAATAATGATGTGTGTTTACATGGATCAGCAGTAGCTGGGGTTTCTGTCAACAAGTAGCAGGAAGCACTGTGCTCCAATGCCAGTGTTTGCCACAGAGGCATTAACCTGTTTATTTATTAATTAATGCCACAAGCAACAATCATCATCAATAATAATAATCCTCGTGTTTGATATAATGCCTTACCACATCTTCGAGACGTCTCAAAGTACTTCACAGGATATACTGTAAAGTGGAGTCACTGCGTATTTTGTGGGTGAAACGAAGCAGCCGTTTGCGCACGGCAGTGTCCCACAAACAGTCGTGGATTGAGTGACCAATTTATTATTTTTATTTATTTTGAAGGGATTATTACCCTGGAAAAGCGATCTGCCAATCGATTAAGAATCCATTAAGAACCGGGTTCCTACTTACTGCTAGGGGAACAGATAACAGATTTTGCCCACAAAAATATAGTCAATTCACTTTACGGTATGTCCTGTGATGCTCTTCGAGACGTCTCAACGACTTGATAAGGCGCTGTGTCAAATGCAAGGATAATTATTATTATAACTGAAAGGAGTCTGCTGCTTGTGTTAGTGAGAGCCGTTGCAAGAACCTTGGGGAATGTAAGATTGTACAAAGCTAGAAACCATCATCTGATCAGTCCCATTCGCTGAACCCCAGTTCTCTCTGTCTGATAACCCCACCGGCAACATAACCCATCCAATTTCCTCTTGAATTTCTGACATAATCTGCTTCCATGTGTGAAACAATCTGCAATGGCCAGAAGTACATCTGTGACCGCTGGGTGAGGACAGCAATGGACTTGCTGCGATACCTGTGTGTCAGCCTGGTGCTCTCGCCTCTGAGTTGGAAGGTTGTGGGTTCAAGCCCCATGCCGGGACTTGGAATCACATAGTCTAAGTTGACAACCTAATGCAGTGCTGGGGGTGTGCTGCGTTGTTGAAGGTGCCGTCCTTCGGATGAGACATTAAACCGAGCTCCCGTCTGCCTGTTCAGGTGCATGTTACAGATCCCATGCCACTATTCGAAAAGAGAAGGGAGCTTCTCCTGGTTTCCTGGCCAACAATCCCCCAAATAAAATTAGTCACTCACTCCATGGCTGTTTGTGGGGCACTGCTATGCACAAAATGGATGCCCAGAAAACACACCGTCAATCCACATTACCGTAAATCTTGTGAAGTCCATTGAGGCATCTTAACAACATGATAAGGCGCTATATCAAATGGAAGGATTACTTTACCTCATTCGCGCTCTCTCCCCCTCCACCACTCCCCTCTCCACAGCCACAGGGTGTGCGGATGCCCACAGGCTCGGCTCAGACATGCAGGAACTGACTGCAGCACATGATACAGGTACAGAGATGTTCTGTGGCACGGGATCTCAGGAAGGTTTACACCCCGCGCTGAGAGTTTGGGTCAAAAAAAAACTAGCCGCATGGTGTCTGACCCACCTCAGGAAGTGACACTTTGAAAATATCCTGTCTGGTCTCAATATTTGTGTTTTACTCGTGTTGTTTGACGGTGCTGAATACAGCAAGCGAGTGGGCGCTGGGCATGTGCTGCTGTTTTAGGAGACGGAGTGGGGGTCTGGCACCAGACAGCGAGGGTACTGTATCATCTCAACCTCACTCAGGCCTCACTCACTCACACACTCACTCACATACTCACACTCTCTTTAGCATCTAGTTACCAGCTAGAACCTTCTTTCAGCAGCTTGGGATGTCCTACCGACGTGAAAGACGCTATATAAATGTAATTTTCTTGTGGTTGTTGCTTTCATTCAAATGTTAAACATTTTGCAATGTTTTGCTGACAGTAAGAGGAGGAATCCTGCATTGGTTTAGCACCTTCACAGTAAAAGGTCACAGTCATTCCTATCACGTACACTGCTCTGTGAGAGTGTTCCAGGCTCTGTACACGTGATTGCATCTGTGGATGAGTTGGGCTCCATGTGTGTGTGTGTGAACTGGGCTGCCTGTGAGTGTGTAAGTCAGACTTTGTGTGAGTTTAAGTCAGGCTGTTTGTGAGTGAGTGTGAGTTGTGAGTGTGTAAGTTGAGCTTTGAGTATGAACCGGGCTGTGTGTGAGCGAGTGTGTGATTGTTTGTGTGAGTGGGTGTCGGGCTTTGTGTGTGAATGTGTGAGTCAGGCTGTGTGTGCGAGTTGGGATTTTNCTTTTTGGCCGAGTGTCTGACACAAACACGGAAACCCATCTCTGTGCTTAAGAATATCCAAACCAAACCGAGAATTCCACGCATCCCACCTACCCATGGAAATCCCAGAGATAGATTGATGGAATGGAATGCGCATTCTCATCCTGTTTACTTAATTCCAGAAAAATATTAGGCACAGTTTGGCAAGAGCCAAGGCTTGGAGACCCCAGAGTGTGCGTTGGGGTGACTGCTGGAGTCTAACCAGCTAAAACCACCTCGCTCGCCACTGATATTGCTCTCCAGCCAGCAAGGATCATCCTACTCATTAGGGCTTTGGCCTTGGTTAACAGGAACTGAGTGGAGAGAATTCCCTGCTCTCAGTCACCAGTCAGCCCTTCCAGGTCCTGCTGATAAGGCTGGCTGTGCTGCCATCAGCAGCGCCCTGGAATACTGTGGCCCAGTCTGGCTCAGGAACCGGCCGACCGAGACTGCCACAGAGGGTGGGCTTGATTTCAACATTCCGTTGCCAAACATGTCACCTTGGAGCAAGTTCAACTTCAAGCAGACCCCACTTACAGGACTCCACTTGTGAGTTGGGATGTATGTGCGAGTGTGTGTGTAAGACAGGCTGCGTGAGTTTGTGTGTGTGTCTGAGGTGCTGGAGGTGCATGAGACGTGCTATGTGTGTGAGTGGGAGTCAGTCTGTGTGTTTCCAATCTTCTCGCTGCTGCTCTATGAATTCTAACCTTTAACATCTAACAGGAAGTCACAGCAATGTGTTATAGAGAATTCACGGTTGAGTTTCATAACTTGGCTGAGCTGCACACCTGCACACCACAAACAGGCTCACGCTAGACACAGGCTCACACCAGACACACAGCCAGGAGATAGCTCAGCACCTACTTAGGAACTACTCTTTCTTGGTGATTTTTGGCAGCCTCACCATCACCCCATTCCCTCTTGGCTTCTCAGCAAATATTCTTCCCAAAACTTCACCCACTGCCAGGCTGATGGTCACAGCATCAAGACCAAGCAGCTCAGTCCTGTTTTTTTTGGTCAACCAGGGGTCTGACACATGCGGAAACCCATCTCCGTGTTTAAGAGTCTCCAAACCAAACTGAGAAAGTCTGACCTGGGGTCTGTTGTCTGTCTTTGCAGAGAACCGTGAGAAGAGGAGGCGGCAGCGCTGGTGTGAGGTGATCTTCTCCTACACGGCCGAAAGGCCTGACGAGCTGCAGCTCACCATGGGAGACATCATCGAGGTGTTGGGGGAGGTATGCCAGACACCCACAGGTCTGACTGTGCACAGGGCAATGCCAGTGTCAACTGTCCAATTGAGCCTACTGTCCAACCAAGCTGGACAATTTGAGCCCTTAGGCAGCTGACATGGCTGTATTGGTTTTGACGAAAGGTCAGCGACCTGAATCATTAACTCACTTTCTCCACTGATGCCTAATCTGCTGAGTGTTCCCAGCGACTTCTGTTTTTATTTATTGCTTCAATTGTGCCAGCCAGGCTCGATTGATAGGACTCACTCTCACCTTCAAGTCAGAAACCTTGTGGGTTCAAGCCCCGCGTCATGACTTTGAATTCATATAGTTTAGGGGGACACTAATGTAGTGCCAGAGGGTGATGTGCTGAATTGTTGATGGTTCTGTCTTTTGGATGAGATGTTAAACTGCCTGTTAAAGATCCCACCTCATTATACGAAAAAGAAGAGAATTTCTTTCCCCAAATGACCTGGCCAACAATCTCCCAAATAAAATTGGTCGCCTACAAAATACACAACGTCCCTTGCGACGTTGCATCACGTGCGCAGATTATTGATTTGTTACTGGGATCGCTGATTGCCAAAGTTTGAGAAAAGTCCAGAGAGCGAGGGTGAGATCTGTGGGAGCCTGGTTTAAGTCTGCAAGTGACTGGTCTATCCCTCCAAGTCCTGCCGATGAGCCAGGCTGGGCTGTGTTGTCATCAACAGTGCTCTGGAATGCTGCAGACCCGCCTGGCTCAGAAACATAAGAATTAGGAGCAGGAGTAGGCCATTCGGCCCCTCGAGCCTGCCCTGCCATTCAATATGATCATGGCTGATCTTCAGACCTAACTCTAATTACCTGTTCTATCCCCATATCCCCCAATCCCTCTATTTTTTTAAAATCTATCAGTCTCAGCCTTGAAAATGTTCAAGGACTGAGCATCTACAGCCTTCTGGGGGAGTGAATTCCATAAATTCACTACCCTCTGAGTGAAGAAATGTTTCCTCAACTCTGTTCTAAAAGGCCCTTAATTTTAAAACTGTGACCCCTGGTTATAGACTCTCCTACCAGGGGAAACAGACCCACAGTGACTACTTTAAGCCCTTTAAGAATCTTATATGTTTCAATAAGATCCCCCCTAATTCTTCTGTACTCTAGAGAATACAGCCCTAGTTTACTCAGCCTATCCTCATAGGTCAGTCCCCTCATCCCAGGAACTAACCGAGTGAATCTACGCTGCATCCCCTCGAGGGCAAGTATGTCCTTTTTTAAATAAGGAGATCAAAACTGCACACAATACTCCAGGTGCGGTCACACCAAAGCCCCATACAGTTGCAGCAAGACTTCCCTACTCTTGTCCTCTAAACCTTTTGCAAGGAAACCGGACTAGAGACCGCCACAATGGGTTGACTTGATTCTGACATTCCGTTGCCAACCATGTTACCTGGCAGCCAGCTCAGCTCCAAGGTGTCGAGCCTCTGTCTCATGTTAATGTTTATCTCTCTCCTGCAGTTGGAGGACGGCTGGTGGCTGGGGAGAAAAAATGAAAAATCTGGGGCCTTCCCTTCCAACTTTGTCATTGAACTCCAGCACAGTGATGGTATCCAATCTGTGACCAGTCAGCCACTGTCACTATTAACTCTGTGTGTGTCTGTGTATCTGTGTGTGTGCGTTGTAGTCCTGTTTGAGGTGACCTGTTTCCTCTGATAAGACAATAGCTTGTGATGCTCAGGTGGGGGTGGGGGGAGTTGTTAGGCTGGGTATTCTGAAAGAATGAGATCAGATGGGCTTTCTTCATCCAAACCTATCCTGTGATCTCATCTCGATAACTCCTGCATCTACTAACTAACCCGTAGTCTCATTGCCTCACTTGAGGTCTCACATCCCTGCTGTTGCTTATCAGATTGATTTCCTCTTTCGTAACTCACTTCTCTTTCATCACAACAATTTGCTCTCTGAAAAAGCCCAAGCACTTCGCAACCTTAGCACTACTCCCACCTAATGTTATGACCCGAACTCACAGGTTGAGTTGACCCTCCAGTGCAGTGCTGGGGGAGTGCTGTGTAGATGGTGGTATCCTTCAGGTCAGTGTTAAATATAGGTTCCGACTGCCTATTCAGGTGAACGTTAAAGTTCCTATAACACTTTTGGAAGAGAGATTGTTTCTCCTGGTGTCCTGACCAACTACCCCTACCCCTATGTTTTGTGTGTGGGTCTTTGCTGTGTTAGCTGCTCTGCTTAACGACAAACACACTCACTCCAGATCTGTAATTACTCTAAAGTACTCTAAAGTGCATTGACAATTCATTGACAGATAAGTTTTCAACAAAATTGTGTGTTCTTTTTTTCCATACCTGATGGCTTTTCCAATTGTCTCTTCCTCTTGGACAGGACACACAAAAAGATGGATTCTCTGGCCATTTCTCTCCCTCTATCACCATCTTTATTGTCTAGTTATTGATACTACTCTGGTTGTTACTCCTCTGAACTTTCTCCTCTGATGTTCCAGACCCCAAATCCTCTGCCCCACACTCTCTCCCCCCCATTGCGTTGAAATCACTGCTCACTCCATCATCTCCTCCTCGTTCTTTGACAGGACGTCAGGACGGTTGAGTTTTTCCACTCCCCCAGCCTTTTCTTCCTTCTGCATTCTACAGCTTTCTAAACCACAAGCTTGCCCAACCATTGCTTCATAATTCATCCCATTTTCTCTCTGCTTCTTTCCAGACTCACTGGTGTTCTGTGCCCAGGGTCTCTGTTTCTCAAGACCAATATCATTCCCTCTTGTGGCATCAGGCAGTGATCAGCTTGGCTCAGAAGGTGGGGCCCACACAACACTCACACATTGTGGGTTCTGTATTTTGAACATGGGTTTAATGAGGACATTTACAGTGGCATCACAGACATGAATATCTCTAAGGGTTTTCTGCAGTCGTGACATTTTTCCTTCTCAAGCTGCTGCTGTGACTCAGAGCAAAGGAAAGGTAAATATTGCTTGTATGATTGTGTGGATAACTCATTCTCCGTGTGTTAATCTTCCTGTGTTAGGTTACAGTCGGAAGGGTCCACCAAAGGAGCCTGGTGATGAGACGATCAAACGTTGTCCGCGACTGTCCGATTCATCCTTGGAACTGAAACAGCCGAGCGAGGTAACTGCTGAGTAAAGCTCTGTAATAGCTCAGTAACTTAAATGCTCCATGTATTTTCCTAATGAACCATACCATCAGGGGTAAGTCCCACAGCTAATGCACCTGTATGTACTGTACGTGGGAGCTCAGAGTCAGGTTCGCTGTGAGGCCATCCTTATCGTAGATGACTGTGGAGTGCAGACAGTGTAGAGTTTAATACAGAGTGAGCTTTATTCTGTAATACTGAAGCTATTCTCTTGGCTCCCACTAGCGTGTTCTGCTACTCTCTGGCGCTCTTTCCCTGAATCCCTCTGCACTCTCTCTCTATCTCTCTGCTTTCAAAACCTACCTTCGCCTCACTCCCTCTCTTGCCTCCTTCAAGGCATGTCGCAAGACCCTCCTCTTCGACCGCGCCTTTGACCATCCTCCACCCCTACCCTCGCTGCCCTCCACTCTCCTCACTTCCCACTTACCTACCTTCCCCTTAACTTCTATCCTGTTCTGTCCTCCATCTATCCCACTCCAGCTCTGAAAAATGCTTTGGGACATTCTACAATGAAAGGTGCTTTAACAAGTGTAAGCTGTATCTAACTGGTGCTGTTCCTGAGCTGAGAGTCCTGGCCGTAAACTTCACTCTGTATCTAACCCTCTCTGGTTGTTGACATTGGGTGACAGAAGTGTGCCAAGTGTGGCGGAGGCTCAGAGCAATGCTCTCTTATGCTGGGGAAGAATCTGAAGCTTTGTGTTAACGTGAAGCTGTGTTTGTACTTTGCAGATTCAAGCTTTCAGATCGATGCGGCTTAAAGCAGGCAGAGCAACAGCGGTAGTTGCAAACCGAATGGGTTAGTCAATAAAGCTCCTTGTGTATAATGTGTAGAAAGCCTTTACACACTCTCTGGGTGTAGCAATGTGGTGTGGTGCTACAGTACACTGTGCTGGGGAGAGAGGCCGTATTCTCAACAACACCACATGGTGCTGTGATCCCTACACTCAGAGTAGATGCTGTAGATGGTGGCAGAGCTTTTGTACAGCATCTTTCACGTCGGGAGGACCTCCCAAGGCGCTGGACAATCTGGGAATTGGACCGGAGCTGAGGGTTGGGATCAGGATGGGTGGAGGGCTGGAAACTTAGGGGGAGGAGGGTGGCCAAAGGTCGATCGAAGAGGAGGGTCTTGAGACTGGCCTTGAAGGAGGCAAGCGAAGGAGCGAGGTGAAGGGATGGTGGGATGGAGTTCCGAAAGGAGGGTCAGAGAAGCTGAAGGCTCGACTGCTGATCGTGGGAGGTGTAAAATACAGTCCATGCACTTGCAGAGAGGATTGATCATTAGGGAGAGAAAGAAACCAAAAATAAATTTGGTCATTCACCTTCGAATCTAACTGTTGGTGTAAATTGGCTGCCATTTTGCCTACAGACTACACAGTCACTCCACTTTAAAGTGACTCCTGTGAAACACTTTGAGACGTCCTCTGGGCGTGAAAGGCGCAGTATCAAATGTAAGGACTATTGTTGCTGTTAGGTTTACGTGACCCAACTTTGCTTTCAGAGAAAGAATACTGCAAAGTGATATTTGACTATATTGGCACCTCAGAGGACGAACTTGAACTGCACAGAGGAGACGTTATATTAGTGTTAAATAAGGTAATTTGTTCTTTGATCTACATGTACAGCAATATTCACCAGCCCGTGACATCTACTCCTGTAACTCTGGTCTATTCCTCCTTTCCTGTCCCATCACTGGTGGCCAAGCCTTCAGCCGCTAGCCCCTGCTATCAAACACTTTCCCGTAATCCTCTTGCATGGTGTCCTCTCTCCTTATTGTCCACTCCACCCCCCTTCCCCCTCCCTATCCCCCCAGCTTAAAAATCAACACCTTCACGTTCCAGTCTGTTTCCCTTTCCGCTTGAGTTGGCCTTCATCGCCTCTGAACTGCTTGGAAACCTTCTTCCTGCGTAAAAGGCACTATTATATGTGTGAGTTCCGGCGTTAAATGTTTACTCCAAGAAAATAAAATCTTAACCATAAATGTTGAGCTTCACATGTGTCCTCTCCCGCTTCAAGCACTGTGAGCTGATCACCCCCATTCTCGCCCGGCTTCACTGGCTCCCCAACCCCCAGAGTATCAAGTTTAAGATCCTTCAAAGCCCTCCACAGTCTTGCTCTTCCCTTCTTCTGTGCTCACCCCCTCGACTCGGTGGGCATTTGCCAGTCCCACCATTGGCGGTCAGGCCTTCAGTCTTTTTGCCCTCACCCTCTGGAAGTCATCTGAGGATCTCTTTGCCCCATGTCCTTCGTAGCCAGACCCGTCTCAAGACCTCCCTCTTTGACCATGCCTTTGGTCATTCTCCCACGCCCCCTTGCCCTCCAACCCTCTTGATTCTAACCCCCAGCTCGAGTGCAAACCATTGAATGGACAGCCGTTCACTACAGCCATTGAGCCAGCTGACGATGCCTTTGATCTTGATGCCCACTAATCCTGGGAACAGCAATGTAAATCGATGTTTAAGGTATATGGGATATCATCAACACAGGGCAGAGACGTGCTCATGATCGCAGTACTGGAAAGCTTCCCATGGGAGAAGCAGCAGTGATCAGTCTCACAGCGGTTTGGGACGTCCTCCCGATGGGAAAGGCGCTATACAAATGTAACTTGTTGTTGTTGTTAATCCAAAGCTTCTGAATCTTCCGTTAATAGGACACGGGTGAAGACGGTTGGTGGGAAGGATATCTAAATGGAAAAGAAGGACTGTTTCCGGACAACTTTGTGACCTTTTACTCACAGACACCAGAGGTGAGTGCCTCTGGTCAGGAGAGACGTTGGATTGAGAATATGACAAAGCAAAAAAGTGATGAATAATCTTTATAAGACGTTGACAAGTCCACAAATGGGGAACATGTAGTTTTGGGCATTGTATTACAGAGAGGATATTAGAGATAGAGAGAGGAGTGTAGATTCCTGCGGATGATTCCAGAGGTTAGAACACAGGCGAGGCTATGGCGGAGTTGGAGGTCATGTTTTGAAAGGATAAGTAATGCGGAACTATTTCCGCTTGCGGGTGATTCAAGGACAAGAGGACATGAATGTAAGAGGAGTGAGTGTGACGGGAATATAGGAAGAATTTTCTCCCAGAAGGTTGTCAGCTCATCAAATGAGTTTCCAGCACTGTTGGAAAAGAGTCAATTGAGGTCATTTGAATGGAAACTAGATAAGTAAATATAGAAGAAGAATTTTAGTAGTTTCAGAAAAGAGGAAGGAATTGGAATTAGGAATGGATGTTTCATCAGAGGAGAAATTACTGACAATACTACAGTAGGTTGAATGACCTCTCTTCATGTCATGGATTTCTGTGGACCTTTGCCATTTGCAGTATTGAGAGCTTTACAGTTGTTGTCTTTTACCTCTTTTCTTCTTCACACACACTCTCCCATCTCCGTCTCCCCCAACTCCCTGTCTAACCAGGAGGTCACTATCCACTTCAGGATCTGAAGCCCCATAACCAACCTCAAGGGGGCATAAGCAGTACATGTGCCAACCAGTGTGGGCCCCAGCCCAGTCTGGCTTTCAGCCTCGGTGAGGTGCTCTGCCCTGCCTTTGAGTCATACAGACCAGTACTATTGCTGACCAGATCCCTGGCTTATACTGAGCTGAGCTGAAAGTCAGTTAAAAACTGACTTTAAAGATCACTAATATTCTCTCGTCATCCAAATTTAAATTAAATGGCTCCTCATCTCATTGTTCTCTAGCACATTGCCAGCTGCCAGGCTTAACCCTATCACAACATTTCAACTTCATTTTGCTCCCCTATAAACAACAACAACAATACATTACATTTGTATAGTGCCCTTCATGTGGGAAAAATGTCCTAGGGAGCTGGACAATCACTGCACTTTAGTACATCCTGTGAAGGAATCCGAGACTTCCTCCCAACGTGAAAGGCACTATTTCACATGCAAGGATTATTTATTTAATCAATTCTGTAAAACGCTTCAAGCTGTTTCTTCTGTTTGAATGCTGCGTTGTAGGTTGTACGTTGTAGTCTCATCTCTCCTGGGCCAGAGATCTTCCTGCAGATCACTAGCCCATAGTGTGTGGTTGCTGTGATCACACCTGGGTCCCGTCCGGCTCAGTGTGCCTCTGGATTACCTGGGAACAGCAAAATCTCACTTATTATTGGAATTCCATAGTGTAGTGGTTAGTGCGCTCGCCTTGCCAGCGAGATGACCTGGGTTTGATTCTCGTGTGGGGCAAAACTTTAGGCAAGATTCCTTACTCCACACACCTCTGTTTAGGCTGCAGTAAGCAGGAACCCGGTTGCTAGACAATTGGCGGATCACTTTCCGGGGTTAATAATCCCTTCAAAAAAATAAATAAATAATAAAATAATGATAATTTGGCCACTCAATCCACGATTGTCTGTGGGACACTGCTGTGCGCAATTGGCTGCCGCGTTTCATCCACAAAATACGCAATCAGTTCACTTTACTGTACAATCTGTGAAGCGCTTTGAGACGTCTCAATGACGTGATAAGGTACTATTTGAAATGCAAGGATTATTATTATTATTATGATCATTCCACTTATGGCTTGTGACTTGGCCTCAGGTGTGGGCAGTGTGTGGATACAGCGCTGGGTTCTGTGTAACTAATGAGCCCCTGTTGTTACCTTGAAATAAGGCAGATCGTGTCACAATCAGCTGGTGTCACCGGAGGTCACCAGGATTTCCAGACTGTGTCTCTCTGTGTCATTACGTGTGTATAAGTAAAGACTGACTGCACCAGGTGTACTTTGTTCCACACCCTTTGCTCTTGAAAGACATGGGCTGTCATGAGCTGTTGTCACACAGTGCATGACCTTGCCGACACACCTCACTCAACTTTTTAGCAATCAAATTGGATGGAGGGAGATCTGGTGACTGTGCCCACCATTCTGCATGGGGTGAGTTGTGAGTGGAGTCCTGCTGAGGAGAGAACCACAACAATAACAACAACAACTTGCATTTATATAGCAACCTTCATGCTGGGTAGCGTCCTGGAGCGCTTGACAGTGGCAGAGTCTGACACCGAGCCGGGGGGGGAGAGGGAGGGGGTTGGTGACCATAAGCACGATCAAAAAGAAGGTCTTTAGGTGGGATTTGAAGGTGGGGAAGGAAGGGGGCAAGGCGGAGGGACGACAACCTGAATTCAGTTCAGCAACAGGTGAAATGTCAAGCACTTTGAGACGTCTTGAAGACGCTATATCAAACGCAAGGATTATTATTTTTTGCTTTCTTGATTGGCGTGTGGAGCCTGCTGACTGTGATCGGTGGGGCGGGGGGCTTGTCATTGTCAGACACATCCAGAATGCTCCGTGCAGCATGAACTTACTTCCCACCGGCAAGGCGGAGGAGGAATTGAGGGAGTGAGTTCCAGAGTTTCAGGGCGTAGCAGCTGAAGGGGAGTAGACATGCGGCGGCAGAAGTAAATGCAAGCTCCTACGCATAGTCTGCAAGATAGGGAATGCACGTACTCCACGGATAGGATAGAACTTGCCAAGAGGGAAGATAAGAGATGTAGGGGTGTTAGTTGACTCGGGACTCCTTGTCGGGGCCCTAGAGGTGATACTGAGGAGAGAGCAATGAAGATAATCCCCATTGTTAGAGGAATGAGCTACGGACTGGGCCAATTGGAAAGTGTGGCCGCACTTTTGCCGCAGAATCTACTACAAATGCCCTCCTCCCGCAACAAACACGCTATAAATGTAGTTTGTGCCCAGCGAGCCTCTCGCTGTCTACCTGACCTCACTGTGGGAGGGGCGGCTCTGGACATACATGCTCACTGCGGCATTAGCAGGAAATGGGCATCACTCAGAGGCACCGCTGTCATCATTGTGTGTGTGTGTGTGAGTGTCTGTGTGTCTCTCTCCTCTGTATGTGTGTCTGTTTGTGAGTGTGTCTGTGTGTCTCTCTCCTCTGTATGTGTGTCTGTTTGTGAGTGTCTCTGTGTGAGTGTGTCTGTGTGTCTCTCTCCTCTGTCTGTGTATGTGTGCATGCCTATTTGTGTCTAAGTGTGTGTGTCTCTCTCTCTTAATTCCCCACCCTCCCACCAAAAAAATTTCCCCGCAATTTTTGGCAAATATTTCCACACTTTTCTATTGGTCCAGACCACGAGCAACGTTTTCTCATCCTTTTAACCTGTGCTTTTACATCACAGGCGACAGAGGGAATTCCGAGCAAATTTCAACCCACCAACTACACCTGTAAGTACACCCCAGTTTCTTACTCTAATAATTTCAGTTCAGGCTGACACAACTTTGCACAGGCGTACATTCTAATGACTTAGACCAGGTGGAATTTCAGACCTCAGAACAACAACAACAACAACTTGCATTTATGTAGCGCTCTTGATGCAGGTTATCGTCTTAGAGCGTTTGCTCAGTGACGAAGTTGGATGCCGAGAAAGGGAAGATGAGCGCAAGGCCTGGTCGAAGAGGTAGTTCTTAAGATGCTTGAGGTTGTTGTCGATGACCACTGTCACTGAGAATCAAGCCTCACCACTTGGAACTCATGCGTTCTAAGCTGTACGTTCCAATGCAGTGCTGGGGATGTGCTGCATTATTGGAGGTGCCGTCCTTTGGATAAAATGTTACACTGTTGGGGCCTGTTCCGGTGAACAGTTGAGATCTCATGGCCCTATTTCAAAAGAGAAGGGAGTTAGTTTGTCATGGTATCTTACTGACAATCCCCCACGGCTGTTTGTGCAACATTGCTGTGCGCAAATTGGCCGCAAATTCAATGTACCCACAAGGTACAAATGCTCCACTTCACAGTATATCCTGTCAAGCAGTTGGTGATGTGAAAGGTGCTATATGAAAGATAAAAAATTATTATCATAATCAGTATGTGGATGAGATCAAGGTACTACATTATTCTGCACAGCTACCACTTCCTTCCTGCCATGTTCATCTTGCAGAACTTACTATAAGTGCTGTAATTTTTAAACAACTATTTTGGGTCCGGTGGGTTATTGAATTAAGCATGGCCTGGTAATGTTTGTCAGGAACTGTATCTTGGATTGATATCAGACTCACAACTCAAATTCCCTATTGCCCTCAAACTGGTCGTAACCAAAGGAACTTGGATTGTAATCTACCACTTGAGGACCTTAGTGAGATGGGAGCAGGTGGGGGATGAACCCAAACCAACCCCCAATAATATGATTCTACACGGTAGGCTAGACTGACAAACACAGAGGCAGAGAAAGGGGTTTAACCCCACGATCGGGGAAACTCTGACTGGGTCTGAGGATTTCACAGGTTCTTCCTCCTGACTTATGTTGAGGAAACTGACTCAGTCATTAAACCACAGGCCACGTGGTGTTACGGCACAATGCTCACTCGGAGTTGTCTGGTTGGCACTGGAAACTGTTTTGAGTTCAGCGCATTTCACTGCCGCTGTTCTGTGGGCTGACAATTTCTGCGTGTGTTGAGCCTGTTGCCCTGCATGTGTCTGGAAGAGGAGTCTTTGCTGTACAGCAGGAGGCAGGGAAAGCATGGCCAAGGAAACTCTACGTTTTACTGTGTGCTTCCGAGGGCAGTAAAACTAAATGAAATTCTGGAGGTTTTGAGACTGAGATTTTAATTCAAGCTATGTATCCAACTTCCTTCAGAAGCCTTCTGCCAATGTCAGGTAACATCTTCTCTGTTTCTTGCTAATCTTCTTTCTCTCATTTGCACTTTCCCTACGTCAAAAAATGCGTTTGAAAAAGTGTCTCTCGCTTGCGTTTTTGCTTGATTTCAGCTCTGACACCAGATTCCCTGGAAGTAGCGAAGAAACCAGAATTACCCATTTGGAAGAGCGAGCACAAAGGTGGGGTGGCCGCAGAGTGTGAATCCTGGGGTGAGGGGATCAATGGTGGTGGTGGGAGCTTTGTGATGGGTCAGGCTTTGTAATGGACAGATGTTTGGTTTCCCTGTAGACCTAGTGGCTAAATACACTAGACGAGGTGATACTGAGCCACACAGACCCTGATGTAAGCCAGCTAACTAAGCCAAGAGGCCATTTTTAACGCTTGAAAATAATCACCTAAGCTTTGGGTTCTAAATAAGAAAGTGAAAGCAGATACACCAGCTATATGTTCCTGCACAAGGCTAGAGTTTTATAATAATAATCCTTGCATTTTAGCTCCCAAATAAAGTGGGAGAATGAGAAACTCAAGTTCACTTGTGAGGATATGATCCGATAGTGATTATAGAGGAGTAATTATTTGTAAAATATAATCTTGGTGGTTGAATGGAGGGATACACATGAATGTAATTGACAGTTGAGAATTGTTAGGGGAACCAGCTCAAAATGGCGAGGCATTGTGGGGTGGGGTGGCTTCAGGTACCGGGATCCCTCTATCTCTTTGTATACATTTATGGATGGATTCCCAAACCCAGTATAAGGCAGTTACATTTGCAGATGATCCTAGGATGAGAGGAACACTGTGGGATCAGAGTAGGTAACAAACTCCCTACAATGAGAGCATGATAGGGAATACACATGGGCTGATAGATGGCAAATTAAGTTTAATACAGATAAATGCAAGGTATTACAGTACTGCAAACAGGTAGTAAGCATATGAAACACATAGATGGGATGGAACTTGCTTGTCAAGGGGAAAGCTGAAAGAGGTACAGGGGTATTGATTATCTCATCGCTTGTCCTGGTAAAACAATACGAGGCAGCAAGAAATAGTGTGCTGGTCTGTGTTGCTAAATCATTGAGTTTAGATTCCCAGATGTCATACTCAAGCTGTATATTGCTGTGGTCAGGCTGTACCTGGAATACTGCATCCAGTTCTGGTCACCCATACATAAGGGGCTGCCCAGACCCCTACATGCAGTACAGAGGAAAGCAGCAAGTGATGATAAAATAAACTAGGGCTATTTGGTCTACAAAGGAGACATCTCAGAGGGGACCTTATCTAAGATATATAATACATTACAAAATGACATTGGTAAAGCGCTTTCAAGTCGGGAGGACAACCCAAGGAGCTGGACAGTCAGGGATTTGGACCCTAGATGGTGGTGGTGGGGGGATGGATTTGGTGTGAGTATGGGAGGTGGAGGATAGGAGAGAGGCCGAAGGTACTGTCAAAGAGGAGGGTCTTGAGAACATGCCTTGAAGGAGGCAAGGGAGGGAGTGAGGCAAAGAGAATGTGTGCTGGAGCTCCAAAGGGGACTTTAAATGGAATTGGGATCATAAATCCAGAACAATACTTTCAGATGCACTGAGACAGCAGAACAAGACGACACAGAGCACCAGAAGTATTTTTTTTTAACTTTGAGGGTAATTAACCGAATGAATGGAACAGGTTTCCAGGACAGGTGGTTGAGGTGAGGAAGTGGGAGGAGGGTGGGTGGATGTTCTGGAGGATGAGATCAGAAGGGGCCAAAGATTAATCTGAACATCTCAGGATCTTGTAAGTATCAGAACCAAACATCAGAACAATTAGCACTGAGGCAAAGACACATTTCTTCACACAAAGATGTGAAGACATGGAGTATCCTGACTGAGGAAGCTGTAGAGAGGGAATCAATAGGGTGTTTAAAAGAGAGATTGTAAATACTTGGGTAGAGATTTATTAATAATCGTGCCGTTTGATACAGGGCCTTTCATGTTGGGAAGATCCCATGCCACTATTCAAAAAGGGAAAGGAGTTTCTCTCTCCCGGTGTCCTGGCCAACAATCAGCCAGTTTGTCCAATCTGTCATCATCGCTGTCTGGAGTACCGCAGTTATTCTCTCCACCCTCACCCTCACTGTGCGCCCTGTACTGTGGCAATGTCACTGTGCCAGGCTATGTGCTGTGGCAATGTCACTGTGCCAGGCTGGGAGCCCATGTACTAAGCTGCTCCTCATGTACCAGTGTTGTGCACAGAATGAACAGCTCCTAAAGTGTCACAATTTTGTAAACTGCAGTCAAAGAACTGATAGTAATTGCTGCTGTGTTTTTGAAACACGTGCAGAGATTACCCACGTTAGCAAGGAGAGTGACACAACCAATGACTTCTCGGTCTGTACGTAAAATTGGGTTTAGCTGAGGCTCCTGAACCTCAGACGAACGTCAGACGAACGCCTGCTTTGAGGACGTGAATGTGTGAAAGCCACTTGCCGGCTGCACAGTGTTTTCTTTCCCTTTCTCGATTGATACCGTCTGTTGGGCATGTAAATAAATTCACTTTTTGTTTCTTTCTCCTTGTCGTGGGTGTATTTCTCTCTTGGCATCTCACTGCATCTCCACCTTTTCTCACACTGAGTGTGTGTGTGAGTACCTCTGTTTCTGTTGTTGTTACGGTTTCTCTCTATCTCTCTCTCAAACACATACACACAAACTCTCGGTATCCCTGTCTGGCTCCCGCTCACTCACTCTCTCTGTCACACTCTTACTCTCTCAGTCACTCTCTCTCCCTCTGTCACTATCTCTCTGTCACTCTCTCTCTCACTATTTCTGTCACTCTCTCTCTCTCTGTCACTGTCTGTCTCTCTGTCATTGTCTCTCTGTCACTCTCTCACTCTCACTATTTCTGTCACTCTCACACTCTCTCTGTCACTCTTTCTCAGTCGCTATCTCTCTGTCACTCTCACTCTCTCTCACACACTCTCTCAGTCCCTAATTCTCTCTCATGGTTTCTGTTCCTCTGGCAGATGATCAGACAGAAGCACAGAATGAGAAACCTGAGGCTGTTACTCCCGCAAACTTCACGCCTGCCAAGAAGGTGCCACCGCCTGTAAAAATTAAACCAACTTTGTTCAATTTTCCGAACAAGTGAGTTCTCAGCGTTGGCTCCTTGTCAGCAGCAACAACGTGTAGCACTTGCCCGGATTTCTGCAGAGATTGTTGTCCTTCTGTTACACTTACTCTCCACTACACTAACCCTAATCCTAACCCTGTGCTGTCCCTCCAGTGTGCTTATTACCCCCAGAAAAGCGATCCGCCAATCGACTAAAAACTGGGTTCCTACTCACTGCTGGTAAACAGAGGCGTGTGGAGTAAGGAAACTTGCCCAATGTTTTGCCCTGTCCGGGAATCGAACCCAGGTCCTCTCGCTTGCGAGGCGAGTGCTCTAAACACTGAGAGTATAGCTTAGTGGTACATGTGTCCCTAACCCTAACCTGTAGGCGTTTCACCCACAAAATACACAGTCACTCCACTTTACGATAGATAAAATGTGAAGCACTTTGAGACATCTCAATGATGTGATAAGGCGCTGTATATATCAAATGCAAGAATTATCATTATTAACCATTATGAGCCCAGTGTGGGTGGTCAGGAATGGGGTGTGTGCAAGCCAGGCAATGGGAAGGGAAGGTGCAAAAGAGGGAAAAGGAGCCAAATTGTTTCTTTCAATAATTTGTTGAAGCTGCCAATCACTGAAAGGAACTTTCTTCCCACAGAGCTAACGCAGAGCAACCTGGCCCACCACAGACAAGGAACGAAACTCAGAGAGACAAGATTGAACCGGGTAAGACATTACAACAACAGCACAAACAGTGACAACAGCAACCAGAGACACGCGGAGAATGGTTAGCGGTGAGAGAGGAAACAGAGAGCAAGGGAGTACATAGCAAATGTCAGTCAATATAGACAAATAATAAAAATACTGTACTCTAGTACGCTTTGGGGTTAAGACAGAGAAAGGAAACATTCTTAATGGAATGGATAGCACAAAGATCCAAGAGTACACGCTTTAAAGATAGGATTGCAGATAGCCAAGACCATAACAAAGCAACTGGGATTTTGTCTCTAATGTAGTAAACTCCTAATAACTCATCATTCCAGAGGGGAAATAATAATAATAATAATGATAATAATAATCCTTGCATTTGATATAGCGCCTTATCACGTCTTTGAGACGTCTTAAAGTGCTTCACAAGAGACACTGTAAAGTGAATTGACTGTATATTTTGTGGGGGAAACTCGGCAGTCAATTGCACACAGCAGCGTCCCACAAACAGTCGTGGATTGAAGTGACCAATTTATTATTTTTTTGAAGGGATTAAATTACCTCTGGAAAAGTGATCTGCCAATCGACTAACAACCGGGTTCCTACTTATTGCTGGTAAACAGAGATGTGTGGAACAACGAAACTTGCCCAACATTTTGCCCTGTCAGGAATCAAACTCAGGTCTCTCGCTTGCGAGGCGAGTGCTCTCACCGCTAAGCTAACCACTGAGCACTGAGAAACCGCTCAGATGACCCGTTATCAGGAGTGACGAGTTAGGCATACATATAAATACATAAATAAGTGTGGCCGGGATATTGACAGCTTGATGACTTAAGTGGCAGTGACCAGTTAAGCCAGGGTCGAGTTATCAGGAGTTCAGTGTGCTTTTTTTTATGTAGTTGGGGACTTGGAGAATTATAGAGAAGAAATCAAGAGCCAGGGAGAGGTTGCAGCTGAGCTGAGCTAGGGTGGAGGCAGGGATTAAGCCGAGGGTTGAACGAGGGGTTTTACTGGGGCTCAATAAGTTTACTCAGCGCTCTGAGGCACTGTCCGGCGTGGAGGGCGCTATATAAATCCAAGTTATTGTTGTTATTGTTCTTGAATACGAGTCAGTTCCACAGTGCGTTGTTGTGGGAGCTTTCAACATCCAGCTGTGTGTCTAGTGATCGAAAGAGGCAGTAATGTGGCATCACAGCTTGTGGTGGCTTGAAGATACTGACTGAGATTCTGTGCATGTTTGCGAAACATTCCTCACTTGATTTCTCTCTCTCTCTCTCTCTCTCTCTCTCAGAATTGATGAGTTTTGACATTCTCACAGTCTCCACGGAGAAGCTGAGCCACCCGACAGCAAACCGTGCCAAACCCCAGGGGCGCAGACCCCCCAGTCAGCTCGTCACCCACCTGGAATTGCCAGAGCCACCCCCGGTATGTCTGGGACGTAGGAACAGAGTAGGCCGTTCAGCCCCTCCAGCCTGATCCGCCATTCTATTAGATCATAGATTCCAGTAACTTTGCTGTGCGCAGTTGGCTGCTGCGTTTCGCCACAAAATTACAATCAATTCAATTTGCAGTGTATTCCGTGAAGCGCTTTGAGACGTCTCGAAGAAGTGATAAGGCATTATATAAAATGCAAGGATTATTATTATTATTATTACCAAGGCTGATCTGTGCCTCAAGCCCAATTACCTTCCTTTGCCCCCATAGCCCTTGATACCCTAACCTAACAAAAATCTATTCAACCTGTCTTGATAATTGAAATGGTTCCAGCACCCACAGCGTTTGCGGGAGAGATTTCCATATTTCCACTACCCCTTGTGTGACAAAATGCTTCCTTATTTTTCTCCTAAATGGTCTGACTTTAAATTCGAAGGGGGAACTAGATAAATACCTTAAAATGCATCAGTGACTGGGGGAGAGGCAGGTAAATCGGACTGAAATCCAGTTTACAGTATATCCTGTGAAGGGCTTTGAGACGTCTCGATGAAGTGAAAAGTGCTCTAGTAAATGCAAGGATTATTATTAGTAGTATTATTATTATTATCAGCCAGTGAGTGTGGAACTGTACTCCAGCATCTGAAGCCATAGAGGAAATGCCCAGATGCTACACAGCTTCACCATGTCTCAGTAATTTTTCGGTCTCATGTTGAAGCAGGTTCCTGTGAAGCCGGCTCCACTGCCAGCGAAGGCCAGTGCTCCTGTCCCCAAGGTGCCATTCCCTACCGTCCCCCCACTCTGCCCCCCCGTTCTCAGGCCATCCTCAGGCCTGCCCAGTGTGCCAGAGCAAGCGAGCAGGGGCAAAGGCGAAGGCACCTTGGCAGCCATTCAAGAGCTGAGAGGAGAGATCCACAGCCTTCACCTCAGCCTGGACCTGCTGAGGAACCAACATCAGTGAGTGTCAGCCTCACACACTTACGCCTCACACTCACACACGCACTAACTCTCCTCACACTCACATGCACTCACTCCTCTCATTCACACACTTGCTCCCCTCACACTCACACACTCAATCTCCTCACACACACACACACTTGCTCCACACGCACCCTCGTTCCGCTCACACACTCACTGCCCTCACATTCTCGCTCCCCTCACACACGCTTTCCTCACACATGCACTCGCTCTCCACTCTCTGACTCACTTTTCCTCATACGCACACAAACATACACTCTTCTCCCACACGTGCAAAACACACTTCCCTCGTTCACACACTCACTCATACGCACACTCCCCTTGCTCACACGCACACTCCCTCACTCATACACACACACTCCCCTTACTCACACACCCTTACTGAGTTGGGTTTGGCTGGGTGTGAGCAGTATAAGTCAATGGCATTTTGCCTCGCTATTTACAGGAAGGACATGACTGAATTAAAGCAGGAAATGGTGGAGGAACGAAACAAACGGACAGTACTGCAGGTAATCGCCCCCCCACCACCCCTCACTCTATCACAGTCACACCACACCCCCACCCACACACGCACCCACCCACACACACACACGCACCCACACACGCACCCACACACACACCCACACCCACACACCGCCCTTCCCGCCCTACGTCAAAGGCGTGAAACGCAGCAAATGCAAATTGTCATTCAAAAAGATCTCGCCGTTCCCATTGCAGATGGAGGTCGATAGAATGAGGAAATTAATGGCGTCCACGTGACGGAATGTGCCAGAAGCCCCCGCCTCACATGCTCTGAACAGGTGCAACCTCTGGGCTCAGTCAGTGGCTCCCAGTGATTGGAATTAAACACTGTGTGAGGACATTTTTACTGACTGTGCGAATGGTTAGCGTTTGCTGCTCCCTGGGGGTGGGGGTGAGGCTGTGAGTCACACACACACTCGGGGAGGGGAGAAGAGGGGAGGGACGTGCCGACAGCTGTGCTGGCGTTTGCCTAGTACTGGCTGTTGTGTAGAGCCAGCCATCGCCAGAGCCTTGTATCTCAGACCTTCCTGTACAAGCTGTGGCTGTGACCAGCGCAATTCCCTCCCCTCCATTATCACGTGATAAGGCCCTGGATCAAATGCAAGGATTATTATTATGGGATATTTTGGAGGGGGGCCGCCGGGTGTCTAACACATGCGTAAACCCATCACCGTTGCTTAAGAGTATCCAAACCCAACTGAGAATTCCAAGCTTCCCGCCTACACGTGGAAATCCCGGATAGATTTTTGGAATGGACTGCACGCTCTCTCTCTCTCTCTCCTCTCTCTCTCGCTCCCTGGAGCGACGTATCCTGTTTGCCTAATGCTGCAAACTACCTTTTAATTACCCAGACTGGCTGCACTGCTCATCCCTCTCATTCCCCCAGATTAGCTGCACTGTACGTCCTTCACCCGCACGAGGTGCGTGCGTTTGAGAATGAGATGCGTTTGCCAGACACAGCTGTCTCCACCACCCACCCAGGGGGCACACCTCACCGTAACACTCTGCACATCTCTTTACTTACCCCCAGAATGGTTGTGTTGAACATGTTTTACCTGCACAAGGTGTGTTGGAGGCTCCCAGCGCCATGTTGGTTAGCAATTTAAACCAGGGGGGAGGAACCACTCATTGGTTACTAACTTTAGCCGTTTTTCTTGTATCCTGCAAAGAATTAAAGAACTTTTATTACCTTTCACGTCGGTCAGTCTATTATTCTTGTGCTGCCAAAGAGAATTAGAGATAAATACACAAGGCAATTTGCACTCAACAACAACAACAACAAGATTCCATTTATTGAGCGCCTTTCACATCGGGAGGATGTCCCAAGGCGCTGTACAGTTGGGTCAGGACCCGAGCATTGGGGGGAAATGGTCAGGGCGAGGGGAGGGAAGGGAGGGAGCGAGGAGGGGGGAAATGGTCAGGGTGAGGGGAGGGAAGGGAGGGAGGGAGCGAGGAGAGGGTAGAGAGTCGAGAGGGGAGCTGAAGGCTGAAGGTTAAAGAGAAAGGTCTTGAGACCGACCTTGAAGGAGGAAAGGGAGGAAGCGGCGAAGGCACAGGGGATGGAGTTCCAGAGCCTCGGGGCTGAGAGGCTGAAGGCCCGGCCACCGATGGTAGGGCGGTTGGGGCGGGGGGTGTGGAGCAGACCGGAGCCGGAGGAACGGAGGGTACGGGCAGGTAGGTAGGGGGATAGTAGGTTGGAGAGGTAGGAGGGAGCGAGGCCGTGAATGGCCTTGTAGGTGAGGATGAGGATCTTGAATTCGATCCTCTGGGGGATGGGGAGCAGTGGAGGCGAGCGAGGGTGGGAGTGATGTGGTCCCGAAGCCTGGTGCGGGACAGTACACGAGCTGCAGAGTTCTGAACTCACTTTTATTTTGGACTCCACTCTGTCTCAACTGCAATTTATTTTACTGTAACTAATTAAACTAAGTCTGTCTGTTCAGGGGGATAATAACAATAGTAATAATAATGATTTGGTCACTTCAGTCCACCACTGTTTGTGCGACACTGCTGTGCGCAATTGGCTGCTGCATTTTGCCCACAAAATATGCAGTCACTACACTTCACAGTATATTCTGTGAAGCACTTTGAGTCGTCTCGAAGACGTGATAACCCGCTATATCAAATGCAAGGACTATTATTTATTTATTATTATGTTAAAGATCCTGTGGCGCTATTCAAAAAGAGAAAAGTGTTCCTCCCAGTGTCCTGGCCAACAAATACAATTGCTCCTAAACTCCATGGCTGTCTGTGAGGCTTTGCTGTGTGCCAATTTGCCTACAAAACATGCAATCGTTACACTTACAGTTAAATTCCGTGAAGCTCTTTGAGACATCTCAAGGTGATAAGGCACTATATCAAATGCAAGGATTATTATTATGTTGAATTATGTTGTATGACTTCTTTATAGAATCATAGAGTAGAATGATACAGCACAGAAGGAGACCATTTGTGTCTGTGCCGGTTCTTTAAAAAGAGTTATCCCAATCAATCCCACTCCCCCGAGCGCTCCCCATAACCCTGCAAACTTGTCCCCCCCAAATAATGATCTACTTCTCGCTTAAAAGTTGTTGTCGAATCGGCTTCCACCACCCTTTCAGGCTGGCTGAGAATGCATTCATACACACACAGACACGCACACACGCACACTGACTGAGGTTGTTTTTAGACACCCATTGATTTTGACCTTGAGCAGTAATTCTGCAGCACTCCATCGCTCCAGCAGAGGGTGAGATCTCACCATCAGCCCCCAGGTCTCACCTCTCCCCTACTCCCCTGTGTACAATGTGTGTTGTCCTGTTGTCCTGCCGAACGTCACTTGGCATGTGCTGCCTCCAGCAATCAGCTTGTGAACCAAGAGCAACCGTGGGCTTTGATACCTGCAGTGAACATTGTTAAGTACTGTAGTTAGTACGACAGTTCGACCCCCACCTGTCCTTTCCTATGTTGGGGGAATGCGAAACAATGGGGCATAGTCTTAAAATTAGAACCAGACCATTTAAGAGTGAAATTAGGAAGCATTTTTTCACTCAAAGGATAGTAGAAATCTGGAACTCTCTCCCCCAAAAGGTTGTGGATGCTGGTTCCATCCACACCTTCAAGAAAGAGATTGACAGATGTTTGGTAGGTCGGGGTGTTAAGGGATACGGGGAGAAAGCGGGAAATTGGATTTGAAATTCTAGTAAAGATATAGATCAGTCATGATCTAATTAAATGGCGGAACAGGCTCGACGGGCTGAATGACCTACGCCTGTTCCTATATTCCTATGACATCACTTTGCCATCATCTCCACAAACGTTTTTTTCCTCCCATCCCCACCTGCAGCGACCCCAAGGCTCGCTCCCTCTCCCTCTTCTTTTTCTTCGACTTCAAGATCCTCACACTAGTCTGCAAATCCCTTCATGCCCTGGCACCTCCCTAACTCTCCGACCTGCTTAGTCCCCACTCGCTGCCTCCGCCCTCCTGCTTGTCCCCAGTCCCCTCCACCCCACCATCGGCGGCTGAGCTTTCCAGCCACTACGCCCCGAAACTTTGGAACTCTCTCTCCCTCAATCTCTCCGCCCCCTATTTTCCCTTTTTCAGATCACGCCTGAAGTGATTCCTTCCCCTGGTTCAGCACCAGGTTCCGCCAATGTTATGCACTCTGAGATCTACCCCTTGTGAAAGATGCTGTGTAAATGCAAGTTGTTGTTGTTGATGGTCCAGAGAGCCAAAAGCAAACCCTGAAATTAGAGCTAAGTAATGAGACTGGAAAACATTCCTTCACACAGAGTTGTGAAAATCTGGCCTACGAAACAAGACAAATCCATTGGGATATTAGATTACAATAGTTTAGATTGGATTGGATAGATGGACAGACAAACACTCTCTGTGTTTAAGTTGTTGTTGTTGTGGTGTTTGCTGGTCTCTCTGGGCTCTGGGTTTCTCCACAGTGACTTGTTCCCAGCACATAGGCACAGCGAGGAACTGAGGCCTGGATTGACTTATGTGAGTTTACTGCAGTTATTAGGTGTTTAATGAGAAAAGGAATCTCAGCGGCTCAGCTTGACGTTGCTGGGTGTTTGGCAGTGAAACAAGGAGAGCTTGTTCTTTTATTACAGGACGGTTTCCCTGGTACAGCACAGCAGGACCCTCATGGCACACAGGAGGCTCCAGCAATGTCATGTTAATTCTTATTAAAATCTAAAGTGTTCTCCCTCCCCCTCCCTTCCCCGCCATCTAGTCCCATAGTGTAGTGGTTAGAGTGCTCACCTTGAAAGCGAAAGGCCTCGAGTTCAATTCCTCGGTGGAGCGAAACCTTAAGGCAAGTTTCCTTTCTCCACACGCCTCTGTTTACCTAACAGTAAGCAGGAACCCGGTTGTTAGTTGATTGGCGGATCACTCTCTGGGAATAATAATCCTTCCCTAAAAGCAAAGCATTTTGATCACTCTAAACACAACTGTTTGTGGGACACTGCTGTGCGCAATTAGCTGCCGCGTTTCACACTCACAAAATATACAGTCAATTCGCTTTACATTATATTCTGTGAAGTGGTTTTGCGACGTGATAAGGTGCTGTATAAAATGGAAGGATTATTATTATTATCTGCCCTGACTTTGCTGATGAGGGAATGGTTGAGGCCATCACTTGTCCTCTGGGATCTCATTCTGAGTAGCACAGTACAATACAGAGCTAGCGGCAGCTCTCATCCTGTCCTCACTTAAAGTCCACAAACTCTCTCCCTGGAGGGATGGATGCATCCTGCTTACCTAATTCCTGAAGAAATTAGGCGCAGGTTGGCAGGAGCCAAGGCTTGGGGACCCCAGAGTGTGCGTTGGTTACTGCTGGAGTCTGACCAGCTAAAACCACATAGCTTGCTTCAGCAGGGCACAAAGTACGTTAATAAAACAATATTTACACAATAATAATGGTTGCCCTTCAATTCTGAAGGTGTCCTTTTGCACAATGTGATCACCTGGGTGTGGGTTTTTGTTTACAGTGTAGAAACTGCTGCTCGCACAGCGACCACACTTTTAGGTAGTAAGCAAATCCAACAACAACAACTTGCATTTATATAATGCCCTTCACACAGGGTAGTGTCTCTGAGCCCTTAAACTCGGTATCAAGGAATATCTAAGACCGGACCAGTTGCTAACTGTACTGACAGAAACCATTACCCCCGGAAAGTGATCATCAATCCACTAACAACCGGGTTCCTACTACTTACTTCTAGGTAAATAGAGGCATTTGGAGTAAGGAAACTCGCCCAAAGTTTGGCCCCACCCAGGAATCAAACCCAGGTCTTCTCACTTGCGAGGCGAGCGCGCTAACCACAGTGTTATGGGACTCGGTAATAGTAGTTACGCAATAATAAATAAGTAATATTTACATAATATTACTGAACCAAATGGATTCCAGGATCAAAAAAATCACCGAGGGCTGGAATTCCAACACTTTCCGGGACCTGCCCCCTTTCTCGTATATCCCCTTTAAGAAGCCCAATTTGTGCATTAAGATGCTTGAAGCATGTTACAGGAAGCGGGGCCCCTACGCAAATAGGATGTGGGTCAAAGGTGCCGTTGCCTCGGATGCAGGCCTACGGGGCGGGGGGGCGGGGAGGTGGGGGGTGG